CAATCACGTACACGTATAGAGATTCATAGAAGGTAGGAATTAGAGCATGTAGGCAATGTAGATTTGCACAAATTTGTCACGTCACACACACGTAGATTAATTTGTCATTTTCGAGGCGAGACATCGATCGAGTAATCGTTTCAGTAATCGATGACTCATAAGAAACGTGTATAACAAGCGAAGTTAGTCTCCACGTGGCTCGTGATTCGAACTACTGCTCTCTCGTATATCCTTCCTCTCGATCTCTGCTCGGTTCTTTCTCTGTTGACGCGTGCGTCTACTCGACCGATCGAAACACGAGGGTAACTCGGTGGTACGACGCCCTACGACGCCCTACGACACCCTACGGCACCCTACGACTTACTGAGCAGACCCTCGTGGACCAAACATCTGCTCTCGCATGGGCCTCTCCCACTGCCGCATCGATCTACCAAAGCCCTACGCCATATACAGTATATATATACGTCCCTTTTATACCATTTCTACCAATACTCATATTTATAATCGATAGTTGCGTTTCTTATTGAACAACAAACGAAAAATCATAGATAATATTTATGAATACTTAATAGGATAGGAAATATGTTAGGCAAAAATTTGATTCTAATTCGATGCAGCGAGTTGACACCGCACCCTTTCAACAGCTACATGTACATACACATATACTATAACATGGTTCGTGCCCATAGCAACGCGTGGCATCGTAATAAGAATGGTTTCACGGTTTATTAGGGACGGGTCAGTCGTAGTGCCGTTTGGCTAAATGCATCGCGACACCGCACAAAGAGAGAGAAAGAGAGAGAGAGAGAGAGAGAGAGAGAGAGAGAGAGAGAGAGAACAATGGAAAGGAGGTTAGCTAGAAGGAACACTTCAACTCAAGTTTCCCAGTTTTCTAATACTCCAAGAGAGTATGCGAATAAGAGGGGGCTTGAGAAGTGCGTAACACTTGGTTACGAGACTGAAATTGTAGTAGAGGGAGTTGGACTCCCTCAATTGGCAGCAATTGACGACAATTAGGGTCTCGCCGACTACGTCGATCCGTGATTTCACATTCGGTTGCGAGAATAAAGTCCATAGCATGGACGACGATGCCTTTGTATTAAATGCCGTGTCCTCTCACCCTTTTATTTCTTTACGAGAGGTAGACGTTGCTAGCTGGAGAAAGATGGAAAGAGAAAGGTTCGATGTCCTTGAAAGGTCCGATTTCTCCCAAGAAGGGTTGACGCTTGCCGCTGCCACCGCCGCCGCCGTCGCCGCCGCCGCCGCGTGGATCCCATAAACGGAGATCCGACTTTCCGAGAAATCACGGAGCCAGATTCCTAAGGAAGAAGAAATAATCCTGGCTGCGGTGCTCCTCGTATATCCAAACGGACAAAGGAAATCTACCTTTCGAGGAAACATTTGTATCTTATTGACCAGACTAATTTCGCCTATGTGTTCATTTCTTTATTTATTTATTACGATATAAGGAAATAAGAAAATCGTATTTCTCTAAAATTGATTAAATTAGATAAAATTGTCGGTGAGTCAAATTGAAGTAGTGTACGGTAGTTTGTTGAAAGAGATCTATTGTCGCCTCTGAAAATTGATCGTCTTGGAGCGTTCGCAAAGTACAATATTTTGGTATACATGGCGAGGCCATGACTCACTCGAGAGAGAAACACTCGAGCCAGCCGTTTCGTCGCGGTCCATTTCCAAAGGTACGTTCACACCGAGAGAATCGGCCTAAGGATCGATAACCTTTGACTTATCCCTCAATTTGTAGTGTTTTTTTCAAGTGAAAACTTCTTTAGAATCGTTATGATTTGAAACTCGATGAAACACAAACGATGAAACGGAAATGAGGAAACGACATTAAAAAGAGACAAACATATACACATCTGTAGGATTTAGCCTGCGAGAGAATGAGATAGAATACAGTATACAGTGTTTCCTGTTATCTCGGTCGCCTTTTTGTACGGTGCTTCCTAACCTCCCCCCCACTCTTGTCTACCAAGCGTTGCATATATGTGTGCTCGTGTGCGCCTTCATATTGCCGTGTCTCGAACCGTAGAGAGAAAGACGTCGTGTATTAGGGAGTATAGTATTTATATTGTACAGCCTAATACTTGCTCTGGTCCAAACTATCGGCTATCTTCGGCAAAGTTTGGCAAGGTTCGGCTCTCTTGTCATCGGGGTGGAATCTGGCATAGGCAATCGAGTACGCTGAACAGAACTTGGAGGTTCTGGTAGGTACGATAGGGCCTCAAATGTCTGTATAATATGTAACGTAGTATACATAATATAAAATGTAAACATTCGTCTCATTCTCTCGAAGTTTAGTTTTCTAATGGTTTCACTTGTACCACGCGTGAACTGTCCGCATGTACACATTTTGTTTGTTTGTATCGCGTTGGCCGAAAATTGTCTTCTTCGGGATTAATTGTGAGCGAAGCTTAAGGATAAACTGACAGCTGCGGCGAATAGGCCACATGGCGCTGTTTGCTGTTGTCCCGAGATGCAGGGGGCGGCCTATCATCGATTTTATCGCGTCGTTTCGCTAACGAAAGGACGGCCCCTTGATTAGAAGGCACGCTCGTTTTATCGGTCGATAGTTATCGAGAGAGAGAGAGAGAGAGAGAGAGAGAGAGAGAGAGAGAGAGAGAGAGAGAGAGAGAGAAAGAGAGGAAAGATTCGATCCTATTCTCGTTCAAATGCTTTTCTTCCTAGCGCGTTATTATTTTAATCGCCCAACGACCGCCAACATAGCGTCCTTGGTTCTTCCTTCCTACGAAAATCTACCAAGCGGAAAGGCATGTACGAGGGCAACAACCGATCTATGGACCGAACGTACTTCCGAACACCTCCCGTATCGAGATTATTCTCTTTACATTCCTTACACACGCGTAGTAACTTCAATAATATTTCTTCAATTTATTTATACACATCGGGGTTTGACCGCGTCATCAATGATAACAAAGTTATTCGTATATTCGTTGGAGATTAAAATGTATTTTTTGTCGATTTAGTTGACTTTGGACTGTTGACGAGAAGGAGGGGAACATCCGTGCCGCTTAGTCGCAGTCATTCTAAATATTTAGAGAAAGTCTTTGCCCCGGCTCGTCTTTTTCATAAACCACGCGTTATGACGCGAGTCGTGATATATTTCATAGAACGCTTTTTCTCGTCTCCCTTTTTTTCAAAAAAATTCTTTGGGAAAGATTCGTGCTAGTGTATCCGTCGACACCCTCGGTTTTCGCTCGAAAACTATTTTCGGAGGTATACCTATATAAGTACTCTTATGCGCGAATGCGTATCTTTATCGAGCTAACACGACGCCCTTCAACTTCGATCGTATAAACTAGTCCATGACGTCAGACCTCGAATAACAGAATAAATTCGGTCGCGAATCGTCGCGCGAACTAACATACAATAAATATTCAACTATTTCTATACGTATGTGTCAATGACTTTTGTACTAAACATTTGATTCGTCTAATGTTTAGACTATTTTCCGGAATAATATGCTTTATCCTCATTGGGTTTGATCATCGCTCGGAGTGTCTCTGCAGGCGGCTGCTAATCCGTAAAATCGATAGAGGGTGACGCGCGATAACTGTCGCGTTTGCTATATGCCTAAGGTCATTCGATTTGCGTAAATCCTAATCCAGGTCACGTTCCTTTTCTAAATCTTATTATTTCTCGTTATAATCGAGAAATAAATTGTGTGAAAAATGAGAAACATAACTGTGAGATATATACATCGCGTCATTAAGTTAACTCGAAACTCATCGCATCAGAACGAGCAACGAACGGTGCATACAATACATGCATATAATACAACGTACGTTCGATTCTCAATGTACAGTTAGGTATGTACTTGATGCGTTGCACGCTATCTCGTTGCCGTATTATCGTGCATCATTCTATTATATTATTACACCTATTCTACCTGCGCGAACATATTTTTAATAAAGGACTTATTTTGTATATTCGTTCATTCGTAGATGCGTAAATAATGTAGGATGATAAGTTGTCGATGATCACTGGCAACCCGCAGACACTCAATTATATCGAAGGAAATGAAGAGGGAAGAGAGAAAGATCGATAGGAGAGTAGAAGCGAATGAGAAAAAAAGTCAGAAAGAGAAAGAAGAAAATAATTGAACATCCCGTCTCTCGGAGAAAGGAGAGAAGGCGCGGCTTAATTAGAGGAGTCGTTTTCGCACCGGCTTTGCATTTCCCATTTGCATTCCCCTTTGCATTCCCCCCCTGCTCGGTCGTTGCTCGGAAAACGGGATTCTTTGAGAAAAAAAAACAAAAAACAAAAAAAAATGTCTTTCGCTAATTCTAAAGTAACGACAAAAGAGGTACCTCTCTTTCTCCCTTTTTCCTCTGTACGTAGGCAGTCTGTGACATTTCCAAATGTCAACGTAATATCTCTCGCAATATACTCTACGACCATGAATTGTCAATTCGTTCGAAGAGTTCTTTTTTCTAATTCGATACGAACTTTACGGACGAGGTAAAAGATAGAAGAAAGAGGTAGATAGAAAGTGCGTAGCCTACCTGGTCCTCCGAGCGTCCACGTCCCTTTAAAAGCTTAAAGACCAAGCCCCATCGAGAAGAAAAAGAGGGAGCGTATTAAGAAGAAACTGGTTAAGAAAGGGGTCGGGGTCGGGGCAGGAGGCCGAGGGAGGGACCGGGGGGTGGGACCAGGGGGAGGAGGAGAACGAGTCTCGCGATCCTCCAGGAATAGTCGCGCGGGCGTGCGGGCGTAGGCGTGCGTGCGTAGGCGTAGGCGTGTATCCGCCCTTCGTGAACGACTCAATGACGTTTCGAGAAACTTGCCAAGAAGAGAATCCATTCGCAATGAAAATTTGCTTCGGATATGTAGGAATTGTATGGGCAAATACGAACGACGTTATATTTCGGTGTGTTCTCTCCCTGTGAAAAAATGAGCGTACGTTTACGCGGCACCGATCAATACAAAACGAAAGAAGGTTTCTCGCGGAGAAAGCTTCGAGGAAAAAGATTCGAGAAGGGATGCGACGCGGATGCGCCGCGGATGCGCGCGAGCTTCACTGTCGCGAGGAGAGTTACTTTGCGAGAGCAAAGCCCTCTTCGTCGACGGGAGTTCCTTTTTGCGCCGACGCGGCCGACGCTTGCGTCGCGACGCCGCCCGCTACGATAACCGCTCGAAACAATCGATCCATCGATAATACTACCGATTCAGGTTATCTCTACGAAATGACCAGAGACGCTATCAAAGTTTACGCCAGATTAAAGCCGCAAAAGGATCGCCAAAATCTCTTGGTATTTTCCTCTTTAATCCTAATCATTATTATTATAAAAGCCTTCTCCCTTCATCAGAAATATCGCGTACTTCGTCGACCGAACGATCGCGAGGCGGACTCGTTGGTGTTGTTGGCACCTTTTAAGGTCGACGAGTTTATCGATCATCGTCCCGAATCATGGATTTTTTCGTAAGTGTTCCTGTAAAAAGCACGAATGACTTTAATAAGGAACGATTATCGCGTCAGGTTTCACCGTATCATCGAGGAGGAAGCCAATCAGCAAGACGTCTTTGAGAATATCGGTCGACCTGTGATCGACAGGTGAAGAAAATTCCATTAATCGATAGATTTCCTTTTCACATGCTTCTTTATCTTAAATTGTACAAATAATTAAAGCGTCCTCGATGGTTACAATGGTACGGTCTTCGCCTATGGTCAGGTTAAGTAATTCATTTATTCTTATTATTTCGTTTCTTCTCGAAACATTGCGATCGAAGATATTTGAATTTGTAGACAGGTAGCGGCAAGACTTATACGATAACGGGCCAAATTTCATCGAGCAAAAGCCAAGGTATCGTGCCAAGAAGTCTTAGTTACCTTTTCGACGTCATTAAAATGGTATATAGTTTTATTATTAAGTTTAATATTTATAAACAATGATGTATAACGATTAACTCTCTGAAGCATCCGGAAAACATTTATTCCGTGGACGTGGCTTATCTGGAAATCTACAATGAATACGGTTACGACTTGCTCGATCGAAAACAGCAGCAGCAGCAGCAGCAGCAGCAGCAGGTGCAGCAAGCTATGCGTTTGGAAGATTTACCGTAAGTACGCGGGTCTCCTTTCTCGTAAAAGGGCTCCTCTCTTTCGTTGCGTATCGACATTCCGTAAGAAACTACTCGGTTGAGATCCATTTAAGGCTCTTCGCTAGATCTATTCCCAGTATGAATATGTAGCAATCGGCTCGGGCACAAACTTGGCACGAGTCCTTTTGCTTCCTTCTGATCGAATCTAGAGAATTCCTTTCGTCTTTTGCCATATTTCCTTGTCCTAGTTCTTTTTTTTTTTTTTTTATCAATGTTTAACCTCCGTAGACGCGTCAGGATCCAAGAGGACGAAAAGGGGAAACTGCATCTGAAGAATCTGACCTACCATAATGTAAAGAGCGAAGACCGGGCGATGGAGTTGTTCCTTATCGGCGACTCGCGTCGGTAAAAATATATTTCGTATTTACCGACTCACATCTCGTTTTTTATGAAACTTTAACCGACTCGATTCGTAATGATTCGATTAGCGTTACAGTTGACACTCCTACGAATCCGCAATCATCGAGGTCTCACTGTATTTTTACCATCATCGTGTCGATAAAGCAATTCGGCGCTAATCGTTACAAAAGAGCTAAAATGCATTTGGTCGATCTTGCAGGGTACCGCATTTCGCATTTGATTTTTCCTTTGCCCCTAAAGGTATGCAACCCCGTTTGAACGGCCGCGTTTTTAGATCCGAACGAGTTTACAAGTGCGCTATTAGCGGGACCGTTTTGACCGAAGCGAAACATATTAATCTGAGTTTGCACTATTTAGAACAAGTCATAGTCTGTTTGAATCAGGAAAATTCAGGTCACATACCTTACAGGTATATTTCCCTCTTTTTTAGATTCATTCAAATTTCAATAATAACATTTTTATCATTTGCAGAAATTGTTTATTAACCGCTATTCTGAGAGACAGTGTCGGTGGAAATTGCATCACGACGATGTTGGCTACGTTGAGTATATCTTCTGCGAACCTTCAGGTACAATTTACTTCGACGCTTCTCTGTTGGTGGTCTGAGAAAAGTGAATAAATGAATGATATAGTCAATTTTACGAACTTTAGGAAACTATATCCACTTGTAGATTTGCTCAAAGAGTCGCTTTAGTTAGAAACGAAGCTAAATTGATATTAGATCATGATTTGGATAGCGAGAATAAACTTTTACTATTGGAGAATGAAAAACTTCGAAAACAAATCGAAGAATTAAAACATACGTTATCCTCGCAAAACAATAGAGATCTTTATGAAGAAAAATTAGGTTATTATAAAAATTTAGTAATGCAAAGAGATCAAGAAATTTGTATCCTTTTTCAAAATGAATTTACTTCTTTATCGGACAAATAAATATTTTCCGTGTATCATTCTTAACTTTGGCAAAGCTGTGCTTCTCGGTTTGTTGAAAAAAGCCAAAGCTAAAAAAGATCAGCCAGAAGGCTTGAACAAAATGTTAATAAAATCTAAATCGAAAATAGGAACACAAGAAAATATGGGCAATAGTAAAGAAACGCATACAGGTACACGATTAGTTGGAAATGAAAAGGACAAATTACGTATAAAACGAACGATTTCAGCCGAACGTTTGTCAAAGACAAATAAATTACTGGAACCTATAGGAAAGCATGATGTTGAAAATAATACGCTATTCGAAAGGAAACGTTCTTATTTATTAGAAAAATCTGTGCTAGAAAAATCGATAATTGAAGAAAATATTGAAAAGAAGGATATTCCTTCCAACGATTCGTCAAAGGAAACTAATTCGTCATTTAATTTGGATGTAAGTAATGTAGAAGAAAAGTTAGAAACGAAGAAAATCGATGAAAATGTAGATAATTATATCCCTTCCGTACATTCCAATGGGACAAGTGTAAATGAATTTTGTAATTTAATAATAAGCAACGATACTCTTCTTACTAATTCCATAACGAGCGACGATCAGTTTGAAAAAAAACATATCGTAGAAACAATCAAATCTAATAACCCTGATAATGATTTAGAGAAAAACTTACCATTGACCGGTGATCCAGAGATCGACGAAGAGATCATTGCGTTTTATAAAGCTAAACGATCTGGTGGAATTTATTAAATACAACAGTTCCAACATTTTACAACATATTTTTCTTCCAAATGAATACAAATATTCACATATAGTTTTCTATTAAACATAATATTAATTATTGATTAAGAATAAATATATAAAATATATAAACCGCGATCGCATCGATATTTAAGGTAAAATACATGGCAATTTATGCATATCTAATCTTTCTCCATGCATTTTAGCTTCTAATATTGTTAATCGATTTTTATCGATGACTGCTAAACAATGTCTCCTCGCCATGTTATTATACTTAAGTATTTTCAATATCGAAATCTTTTCAGCTTGAATTTTAATAGTATCTCGATGAACAAAACCTTGGATGCCTGCAATCAAAATGATCTTTCATTTGAATATCATGTGGATCCATATGGACTTACGTTCATTATTTTTCTATTTGAGATTTTATTATCAACGTACCTTTATATTCATAAACTTTCAGACTTTTATTATTTTCAATAAAAATGAGTAACATTTCGAGCGATCCTTCAAAATGAATGATCGAAAATGAGGATGGGTTGTTCGTTGGTATTATTTGTAGAACTTTAGTTTCGTTCAAATCGTTATCGCTGATCTAACAATGCAAAAAAAGTAATGATGCATTTTTGTTAACGTTAAATATTGCTGCTTTTCTTCTTAACTTACGAATATGTTATCCCTGGTGAAATTTGGATTGTAATGCAGAAAGTATTCTTTTTCAAAGATTCCTACTTTCATAGACAAAATCTCGCTCGATCTCAAGCGATTGTTTGAAAATGTATAACTTGTAAGAGATTTATCGAGCTCGTAGATCGAATATCGATTGTTCAGTAATATTCTATCTGTATTGGAAACAAATTTCAAAGGGTGATCTTCGACGTTAGTAACGTAATAATTCGGATTCGATCGGAACGATTCGTTATTATATATTTGTTGGATAGTTCGACTTTCCAAACGATCAGCGAACAATAATAAAAATGTATCGTTGTTGAATTTTTTCACGTCTTGGACATCTTCAAATTGATATACGTGAACGAATTCATTATTATCGAGTTTCCATAAATTTGTCGAATTTCTTGCACACTTTTGTTTTCCCGTAACGAGAAAATACAACGAATCGTTGTGATTCAATGTTATCCAATTTTGGACGTATCCAAAATTAGGAATGCTCGCTATTAATTTGAATATTTTTCCATTATATTGATAAGCATCCAAGTGGCAAGACTCGTAACTTATTAAAAGTAAATCGAGATTTTGTATTTCGAAATAATGAACGCTTAGTAAATGGTGTTTTAATTCAATCGTTTCTTGCAAATACTCGAAAGCGTTGAATTTGTAGATTTGAGATTTTGCATGGTACTGCAGGTTTACTACGTTTCTGCATAGATTAGACAAGTTTGTCTGGCAAAGAGGGAAAATAATAAATGTGATTAGTTCTTGTAGAAGTCTACATTTCTACTCTCTATCGCACAGTCGATATCATTTTGACGTACCGTCGATTCAGTTAAAGATGTTTCCATTGCCATTTGATTTTGTTCCAACAAATCGGCTAATTCGGTCGAGTTGAATCCATTTAAGAGTCCACCGTTCGTAAAGATGCTGCCTTTTAAATAAACCTTTCCACGTATTTTCCATTTTCCAGAGATTAATTGGTCCGATAGATGATTCGTAGTTACTGCAGTTGCTTGCCAACCAATTAAATCTATTTCATTGAAACGATCTAAAACTCTTAGAGATCCGTTTAAAACTACTTCTTTTTCAAACTCGACATTTCCTAGAAAGGAAAAATCATCACATGCCATTAGAATCGGATATCGATTGTCATCGAATAATAATTCATAAATGTACCAATGATAGTGTCGTTGGTATTTACGAGTACAATTTGTTTCGGATTCACGTGATTCATGAGACGAGGATTAAAATCGTGACGCATGAGAACTTTGCCAAGAAACGTTAGATTTCCAGTAACATTTTGATTACCGATTTTCTATATAGAAATAATACAATTATTAATTTATTTCAAGATAGGTCAAAGATTAGGATAAAAAGATTGAAGTATAATAGTTACCATCAAAGTGTCCGTATAAATTTCGTTCAAGTTGCGTTCGTTTATATTTCTTCGGATGTCGATATCTTCTACGGTGATATTAAAAGCTCGAATAAATTCGTTCGATATTATCTGATCAGCAGGTAATACTATTACCGAGCTCATATCTATGTTATTCCAATGTTTTATGCTCGCGTCGCCAATGAAGTTAATACTCGTGAACGTCGTTGGAGCTAAAAATAAAGCAATCGTGTATTTATTTATTTCAGAGAAAACAGCGTATAGTTACCGGGGAAAAAATAAGGCAGATTCAGATAAACAACGACATCTTTCAAGTTGTCGATATCGACTCCACCGATCCAGTTAACGTCCAAATTTTCAACGACATCCAGATTTTTCTTCAGGACGATATCCTGAAGAAAAACGACGCTAGAATTCATTGTCAAAGGTTCGTCGATGAAAATGGCTTTTTCATAAAATCTTTTTAAATTGATATCGTTGATAGCTTCGTCGATGATTACAAACGATTCGTTTAACATCAACGATCCTTTCAAACGTTTACCTCCCGACAAAGTTACGTTATCTTCATTTTTCAACACTATAGAATCAACTAATTCGTTGAAATCTATTCCATCGATCGTACCATTCATTTTAAGATCAATTATTTCTATCGCACTGACAAATCTGACATTTACGTTTAACTCGCAGGTTTCGTCGTTTAATTTTCTAAATCTATTTATTAAATCGCGAAAGTATAATTTATTTTGGATCTTTCCTCTTGCATCGAAACTTCCAACAACGTTTGCAGTGCCTGCAGATAATGGAACGTGATACATGATTTACTGGTACTAGCCTTAGTCTATATAATTTCTATTTATTATTATTAATAAAATCATATTTTTTTTGATATGTCTTACCATTTATCACGACAGGACCAGTTAAGTCTTGATCCTTGTATGGATCTAGAATATTGTTAACATCGTGCCCATTGAATGATTTCATTTGTAGTAATTTGCAATGAATATTTTCAAATTCTTTCACATCGTTTATCACGATTTCATCGTCTATTTTGAGGACAGCATTTTTCACGAGTTCGCTGATATTGAAATTGTTTATGAAACCTAATACAGTCAGGTTTTCTACGTAGAGACCATTTTCGTAGATCACCGTTCCCATAGTTGACGGATCGTACATTTTATCCAATGATATTCCATTTATCGAGGACGCATCGATCATTCCTTTGACGATGATAGATTCTAGCGTAGCAATGTTAGGATCGAAAATGTCCCGATAAGATCGATGCAACTGATCTATCAAATCGTTCCATCCTTTAATCGACATTCCATTGAAACGTTCGATTTCCAGATTTTCTACTTGCAATCGTTCGAACGAACAATTAACACTTACATTTTGCATCGTCGATCTAGTTACGGCAAATTCAATGAAATCACTCAAATTAACATTATTGACGAATATTGGAGTGATCTCTTGCACGTTTAATTTATTAACCGTTAAATCGTTGAAGGAGACATTTCGAAAAGTTAGATTAAGTTGTTGCTTGAACGTATCGCTCGTGATATTGTCGTTTAAAATATCGAACGATAGATCGTCGACGATCAAAGTATTTTCCAAAATGACGCTTTTATTCGTACAATGCGAATTTTCCTTCGTCTCTTCTTCGAGAATTTTCCTTAGATTGTTTGCAAATTCGTTAGAGATTTCCCCGAAAGTTACGTTATCTGATATTTCTTTCAAACCTGTTTATTATATCAATAAATTGATTGAATTGTTGTTCCTTGAGTAAATCCGATTTACAAACGAATACTCACTCGTGAATGTTTGATCGGTGTCCAAAGTAAGAAATTCTTCGATAGCATGTCCGTTGATCTTATTAGAAGTGATATAGATGGATGATCCATCGATCGCAACGTTGCCCCTAAAATCCTTTTTTCCAAGGATCTCGACTCTAGAATCGTTTATCGATAAAAGATCCTCAAAGTCTGACCAATCGTTGGCATTTATTGAATCCTCCAAGTAAACATTACCCAACACGGTCAAATTGTACAAAATAACGTTAGAAGTTAAGCTTTGAGTTTCGTTGATCAATGCTTCCTGCTTTAGTTGAGATACATTAAATCCACTAATGTTAGCATCGATCTGCAATAATCGTATGAAGAAAAAATAAAGACACGCGAAACGTATTTGATAAATCTCGAGAGGCATAATACCGTGAATGATCCAAGAACAGTTATGTTGCGGAAGGTGATATTTCGATTGAAAATGTGATCGTTGTCGAGGGTAACGAACTCGTCTATGGCAATATCGTTTATGCTCGAGACTTGGGATAAAGTTTGGACGGTCAATCGATCAAAGTTCTTTATCCCGGTAACGTGGACAGGAATGGAGCCTTCCTCTAACACGTAATCGTAAGGATAACTTAAATCGTTCACGATTCTCGCATTGACGTAGTTACCTTCAATTTTCTGCAACAATTTATTACAAATTATTGATATATTATGAAATACTTGGATATATACGCATAGGTACGTACTCCATTGATCGTAGTTTTATCCGGTATAAAAGCCAATTTATTTTTCCAGACAATATTTTCCCACTTGATATTATTTATCTTAGAAAAAGTCAAGTGTCCATCTATCGTTAGGTCGTAGATCTTATTAGACATATTCATATTCGAATAATGAACTTTCGATTCTTCGAACATAATTTGTTCGAACGGTATACCATTGATCTTTCGAATCACCGCATTCGTTGCTTCGATATCAGAGAATGATTTTTCCCCATTTACGACGGCATCACGGGAATCATTGGTTAGATACTGTTGTAATATTTGTAACATCGGTAGATCATTCAAGGAATTCGTTGAAAATTCTTCGACGTAAAGATTTCCACGAAGTCTTAGATCTCCGGAAATATTTAGATCATCGACTACGAGCATCGAATCTTCATCGGATCCATATTGTAAATCCAATTTCAAAGTGTTACATCGTTCTGTTAAATCTCGTAAAGATTTGTTGATTAAAGTCATATTGGTTATTATGTCCTCGCGTGTTAAATTTTTCGAATCCAAATTGATCGTATAAGATACGTCGTTTTCCATGCTTAAATTCGTTGTTATTATCTTAGACGCGTTCAATGATTTGATTTGGGTATAATTTATATGATCTATCAGATCAAATCTTTCATCGATCTCGTTGATGATTTGTTCCTGTTTATTCAATATCTCCTAAAAAATAGGTTTGCTGCTTAGAGTTCAATTTGAAAAATATACAAATGAAAAGATAACTTAAAAAATATCGTACTTGTAATAACGCTTTTGCCTCCATCATTCTGATAATTTTATCTTCGATAGGGCTGGAAAGTTGATTAAGTTTCGTATCGATTTTGGCAAATACATTTCCAGATACGAATCCGTATCTTGGAATACTGGTCACATTAGAGAGATCGAAATTATTAAGTAAAACGTTGGGCAAGGATGTTACTTTGAATCGATGATCACCTTGCCAAGTTAAAGCATAGATCGTAGAATCGAGCAATTGTATTAACAACAATGACTCGTCTCTGTACGTTTCGACAGGAATTTCTTCGACCCAAGCAATCTCTGAAAAAGCTAATTCGTTTATTCGCCTTATTATTGTGCAACATTTTTCACAATCGTTATATTATCTAAATAGAGAAAATGTTTTTACCGTTAAAAATATTTTCCGTCTTGGAATTGTATTGGAATGCATTATCCGCAAAATAAAACAACGCGGATTCTTTTCCAGAAGTAGCCAAGTATTGAGCGTGACCGCTCTCGAAGCAAATGAAATTATTTAAATTGTTAGATTTAATCGTTTGCCATAATTCGAACGTTCCATAATCGTCATCGTTCTCTTTCTGTTCGTAAAGGAAAACTTCATTTTTGCCAAGAAGTGCTAGCACCGTGTGCTCGTATACTTTACATAATTGCATATCGCGTATCGAGGAAGCTTGTATCTCTTGAGTCAACCTTTACAATTATAGATTAATGTTTATCTATCTATTGCATATCTAAATTTGCAATTATCTATATATTGCATAATATTATATTATAATTACCAAAAGTGATAGTCCTTTTTGACGAAATCGATACTGAAACTATAAATATCAATTACCGAGATAATACGCGTAATCTCGTAATCATCTCTGTTAAATAGCAACAATAATTTGTTTTTATTTCGATATCTAACAAATTGTATATCTTTAGCTGGCCGTTCTATATTCCAGGTACGAAATAATTCAAATTCTTGATTATAAATTCGATACCATTGCAAACTCGTCGTGGCATTTTTTTCAACGCACACAACAGCAATGATATCATTTCGTTCGCGTAATTTTGTCGTACTTTCTACATCGATCAATGTAAAAGTTAACACCCGTCCGTCTATATTAAATTCGGCAAAATTTGATGTCGTTAGTTTACCCTTTATATCGAGGGTATACAAAAATAACGTTCTTTCACTCGAACAGGCTAAATAATTGTTTCCATTGCTTTCAAATAAGATCCAATGACATTCGCTTCGTGGTAATCTTAAATCCTCTTCGATCGAGATATTCGTTATTACGACTTCTGTCAAGAGATTTCATCAAGATTTAAACAATATTCATACCGAGAAATTCTCTCTCTATGCATACAAATTATATTATAGAAATAAATTACCGTCTCGATTCCCGGCATTCGTTCCAAATTCATACTCCTGCCAAATGAAAGTATTTATGTCCATGGAATTCTGTGAACGACGTTGTAAAGATTTCCCAGTGATATTTAAAATTTCCTTTTCTTTTCTTAACATTTCTTCGATACCATTTCGATAACATTTTGTCGTTTCGAATCGAAGAACGAAAAGAAAGATAATAACTAGTAACGACGAACGAGGAAACATATTCGCGAATACTGAAATCCTTCGATCGATTTCCTTCGATTACTTTCTTCTAAATTCGACTTTATTGACTCATAATATTTATAGATTAATGAATCTAACGAGTAGTAATTGGGTAACAAGCAAGTAAATAGTACTTTTATTTATATTCTCATTAATTATAAGAACTAAGAGAACAGATAGTCAAAATTAAATACGTAGTGAAGAAAAAAAAGGGTTCGGCATTTAGATCGATTTTAGGTAATTACGTTTAATTGACTGAGTATTGTATCGAATCCCTTTTTTTTTTTTTATCACCATCACTTATAATGAAAAAACTTTTCTTATATACAATATTATATAATAGATAATTATTAACAATTATGAAGTATAATAAATAGAAAAGGTACTTTCTAAGAAATGTATCATATAACGCGTACGTTTCACTCGTTTTATATAACGCTCATGAGATTCGCATGATCTCGTTTACATTCAGGGTACAGTTACTGGCAAAAATCTTGACCTATCACCGACTTTTGGTTGAAACCTTAAATTGATCTTTTCGCTACCTTCTTCGCCAACTTCGAGAAACGTGTTCCAATCCACCAAAAAGTATAAACCAGTTTTTCTTCTGGCTGGTAAGACTGGATCCGGTGCTCGTGTACTTCCACCGAATGAATTTTCCAAGTCTATCAGATTAGTATTAGTGATTGTTGTCGCCGTAGTAGTAGTAGTAGTAAGCATTGGCTCCGATTCCGTCGTTGCTGTCGTCTCATTTAGTCCGGCCGCTTCTTTTGCAGAATCCATTAGCGTCGTTGTTTCTAACGCGTAAAAATCATTAGTGTTCGCACATAATTTCATAATAAAAAGATATATGTCAATTACCGATTGAAGAGATCGTAGTTGAAGTAGGAGAATTCCCTTCACTCGTGGAACTTTGAGCATCGTCTTTTTGTCTCTTCACTTCATTTTTAAGATCCTCACTGTAGACTCGAATAATTTCATCTAAACTTAAAGGATCTGGACCAACTGACAATGTCCTCGTATTCTTCAGTAAATCACTGGCAACTTTTTCAACATCCTTGGTATCAGCTTTACCTTCTTGAACCAATTTAACGGTATCTAAAAGTTCGTTGATTTTCGATCTTTCGTTGTCATTCTTAAAAATCGTTTCGTGCGGTTTGAAAACGTGATACTTGGGTGTAGTTTTGGTCTCTTCCGAATAATGAAGAGAATTTTTGGAATTCCTACGAGAATTCGAGATCAATCCGATATTTTGTAAAACCGTTCTCATGTTAATTGGAACAGCTTCGATCACCGATGGAACTGTACTTTTCATAGCCTTTCGTTGTCTGTTAACGCCAAGACCGAATCTTGATAAAAATTCTTTCATCTCTTCGTCTTGAACGGTGGACGTTGGCAACGGTTTAAAATTTCTATACAAATTCGTGGTTGTGCGAGTGGTCGTAGTTATGCTAGGCGATTGACGATCCTGCGTACTCTCAAAGCCGAACCTTTGAAAGAGCAGTCTTAAGTCGGGTGTTAAATTTTCCATACCTTTGTTCAAATCAAAACTACCTGTCCGAAAAGTATTTTGATTCTCTATCAACGGTGAATCTGGTTTGTCCGCATCTAGAGAAACGATGCCATTTTCGTAGCTAACGTTCGATTGATTAATCGGGAAAACATTGTCAAGGTTTTCCTCGTTCTCCGGGCGCAAGCCGATCGAAGCTAACAAATCCATAACTCGTAGTTTCGTCGTTGGTTCGGTCGAAATTCTTTCGGTAGTCGATGTAGCATCGCGAAATCCGCCAGAGTTTAAAGCCAACGTTGTATTGTATTTCGACGTTTGCGAAGTCAACGCGAGCGGAGTTACAAAAATCTTTGAAGATTCCTTCTCTTCTTGTTGAATTTCACCGAAGGAGAACTCTTCCTTACTTTCATTGGGAATGCTTTGGGGCGGTGGCGCATTATAATGCCATTGATTTGAATAAAGAATGTCTTGTTTCGGGCCCAAATCGATCGCCAACTCTTCCGAACTGGACGTTTCCTTATCGAGAACTACGTTGATGTCTTCGACTTGATCGTCGTTGATCGTCTTCCTAGTCGTAGGAAGAAATATTGGATGATCGTCGATCCTTGTTGTTTCTCGTGTAGGATAATGATGATTCGTTTGCAGGCTATCCAAGTTGAAACTAAATCTCATTGGTGCCGAGCCAGGAGTTAGAGTCTCTTTCAAGGATTCTTTAGACCTAACGTCCGAATAAATTTCACGATGATTTTTATATCTACTTTTGTCTAGGATATTATCCGTCGATTCCGATGATTCGCTGTTACTTTCTTTCGATCGATCGTTTAAAACCATTTCGAGACGTTCGCCGCTAGCCGAATCCGATAGCATTTGAACAATCGGTGCTTTCGTATACAAATCTTTCAAATTTTCCAAAGATTCTCTCGCCTTGTAAGGTAAAACAACCATTAAAGCTCTTTGATACATTTTCCGAGCTTTCTCGATTTGATCTTTATTCTCGTAAGCTTCCGAGTCCTTCGACGTGATGTTGTACAAAATATCAACGATGTCGTTCCGAGATAGTCGAGGCAAATTTGGATTTTCATTGATCAATCTTTCAACTTGATCGATCGTTCGATTGATCGAATTTTCTACCTCGAATATCGTTGGTAGTTCCTCCGATTCGACATGATTTATACCGAGGAGTAAAACAACGTAGACGATTAAAATCTGAAAATAAAGATGTTCAATCAATCGTTTCGTTTAATCGACCATCCAATGATTTTTATTATTCAGAAATGACGAAATAGGTATATGCCATTGAAATAAATAATTGCCAAATCAATGATTATTACCATTATCGAGTTACGTGATCAATTTTGAGGCGTAATATTAAAGATGTTAATCGAGAACTCTTGCAAAATAAAATATCCTTGGAACTGAACTAAACTTCGATCGAGAAAGTACTGTTAGTCGATCCAACGTACGCACCATTTGATCCTTGTACCGACATAGTTAATTATATACGCAAGTCAACGATTTCTACTGTTTTTCTTACTTTGCACTAGATTATTGGTCCATGACACATATTGTGTTACAATGTATGCAAATTTATTAAAAACATTGTCGATAAATGTTGCAATAGTCAGGATAGATGTTAGACTTAAAAGAAATCATTCTCCAGAAAGAAAGTTAACTTTTCTAATTACGATATAAAAGAATCATTTATCGTAGAAAGCGAATAATTGGATTTAACGGGGCCGAGGGTTGTTTCATCGTCGGATCAGAATTTGAGGATTTTTCTGAAGGATGATCGATAAAAAACAATATGAAAAAGAAAAACTTACCATTGCTGGAAGCGATCGTCCGCAGAAGCAATCGTAAACTGACCGTACTACTTAAGAACCTACTTTCTTAAATAACTCTCTCTCTCTCTCTTGGAACTTGTGTTAGCCACTTCGTTCTGTCGTCCTATCGGTGCACTCACGCACGTTCGACTGTCGTTCGAGCTTCCATTCCACCAGCCTTCTATCTCCTCTTCTTCATTTTCCCTTAGATTAAAGACGAACCAATTCTTTCTTTGAACGAATCCTTTTTATCTCGAAAGTGAGATCTCACGAAAGGGACATCACTTTCTTCACACGTTTTTCTGCGTTTTCACGTTATTCCTCTTAAGGTAATATCTACAAGTTTCTCCCTTCTTTGAACAATTTCGATCATCTCTTTTTATTTGTTCGTACTTGCACATGATTTTATAATTTCCTTATTTAGGAATCATTTATTCCAATATAAATCCCAATAATAATCGCAATCCGTATTATCCATCACAGTTAACTTCTGGAATATATCTATCATCGATAATGCAGATAGTCGGTAAGTCAGAATCGAAAAATCAATAAAGGAGAAAAACTTATCGAATCGATTAATAATTTTGATTGCTTGAATTTTGGTTTTTATACAAGATTTCAATTGCAGTTTGTTATTAGAATAAATGACAAATAAACAATTCCAATTTCCATTATATAAATCGAGATGCATATTCGTAATTAATATTACATATAAAATAAAGATGCACAATGATATTTGTAAAAAACAAAGTCATTTGAAGCGCGAAAAGAGAAAACGTTCGAAGTTAGTTATTACAATATAATGCGAATGGTGTTAAAAGTGGGGAGTCACTCTCACCGTTAGGATCGCGTCCCGACTTGCCTTTTCGATCTGCCAGACGCAACTTTACTTTTTTCAACGCAAGTTCGTCGAACTTTCTAACTTTCCAACGTTAACAATTTGCAAATACTTTTTTATAACAATTACTTGAATATTTCTATTAAATAATTGAATCATTCAATAGTGAAATATATAAAATGGAACTGTCGGAGAAATTACATCGTTGGAACGTTAGTTGTACTCCTGATTATATACCATCTGCGATCGAGAATATAGAAAGTAAGTTTGTTTTCTATTTTCCAAAATCATTTGTTCTCCGGCCGATTCTTGTTCTCTTTCAATAAAATCAACGAACGCGAGATAATTAAATTCGCATTTTATAAGTATATAACAAATCGATGACAATGCTTTATTTGCATTCAAATTGTTTCGACAGTCTTGAAAAAAAAAAAAAAGAAAAACAATACTAATGAATTATACATCGAAATTGTGTTACGATCATTTCCCCCCGATTGTGATTTTTATTTTTATATTTATCGAGTGATTTAATTCATTCTCAATTTTATTTGAATTAATGTGCTACGAGTTTTTTCAAATAATATCGATCGAAAATGTAAATATTATAGAAAAACTATGTTCTGTTAGTCGCGCTCTTCTAATCTACGAATACAATTTCAATTTGAACACCTTAAATATTTATCTCGTGTAAATTCATATATCACCTAGTTGAAGTATGTCATTTTGTTCATTTTATCATATTCAACTGAAGGAATACGAGTGAGAGACGACGCACCAGTGAAAGTTTTGCTTCGAGATCATATTTAAATTGACACATTTTTTATAAATACTATTTTAAAGAAAAAGACGTCGCGTATTAAAAAAAAACTTTGACTTTGCCTTTCAAGTAATATTCCATTTTCTTTTGTTCATTCGTTCTCCATTTGATTATTTTCCTTGAACATTCGTTTACTCTGTCATTTTCAAAATTCAAATGAAATATATCGATTATTTATTAATTTAACAAATAAAAATGATATCAATGAAATGTTAAACATGCATTGTATATTATAATTTTAAATTTTTACGCGATTATAACGTATCTTATCAACAATTTATATGAAATCTTATCATCTAAAAAAAAATCTTATCATATTTTCGATTGCGTACAAAAAATAATTTCCGTTTACGTAATGGACACAGTTTCATGCGCGTACGAGGATTAGTCTATATGTGTCTTGGAAATTTAGTAATCGTTTAAAAAAAGTAACCTTTTTAAATAACTCATAATCTTGAATATTTTATCGATGATGACGATATAATTATTTGATATTTTTATTTGTCGTTTCAGGCTTGGGTACATTCGGAATTGCTCTGATATCTGTAGGAACTGCATTTTCGCTGATAACATTATATTTTGCCATAGACGCTATTTACAATGTTTTTTCGCAAAAAGAAACGGGGCTTTACAAATCTAACATCGTTAGTATTTTCTCGGTATATCCAATAGCGAGTGTTTGTAGTTTGATGATAATAGCGGTACCAAGGTAATTAAAAATGATTCCTTTTAATTATAACCACAATAAATCTACCAATCTATCGTACGTATAAAACTACTTTTAACCTTCCAATTATGGAAATTATCTCTTGTTTTTATTCAATACGGAATTAGAAACGTCAGCACTTTTGCTTGTACGTAGATTATTGTATTAACTTTTAATTCAGTCGCATTTGATTATTACATATATAGTAAAAGTTTAGTTAAGATCAAAATTGTAGATATACTCGAGAGAATGAAAGAGTGACAAGAATGAAATAATAAATTCGAGAGAGAAAGTTGCATTATCTAAATGAGAGATCCCTGTTATTCGAGAGTGCCTACAAAAATCTTCTTCGAAAAATCTTTCCGGTTGACCTTTTTTTGTTTTTCTTTAAAACGAAACGTCGGCGGCCGGGTACGGGACGGGAGATGACGGCGGGAAATTTGTCACGTGAATAAGATTCATGAATACCGTCTGACGCGGTTCTTTTTTTTTTCATTTTATTTATCTACTATTTCAGAACACAACTATTATCGGAGGCGATCATTCAAGTTTTCTTGACAATAGCGCTTTATCGTGTCTTTCTTCTTCTTATCGACGTTGGCCGACGAAATCTTGACAAAACTCCCCCGTTATTGCTAAGAACTGGTCCTTGTTGCTGTTGGCCATGTTTGCCCTTTCCTAAACTCGATATGATCGACTCTCGTCTGGCCGTCATTCGATTGATCGTTCTTCAACTTCCCATCGTACAGGTATCTCCGTCTACTTTATTTATTTTCTCTCTTATTTTGGTGGATCTTATTGAAAATCTTTTTCCAGGGATTACTGTACTTCATCATGCTAATTGTCGCCTTGAATGAACAAAAAGTAGAACCAAGTTACCTCATTTGGTTTCAACCATTCACATTAATTAGTATATTAATTGGCATATATGGTTTAACGATCACCAACAAGAGTCTCAATGTCGTTGCTCCAGGTAAATTACATTTTCATTCATTTACGTGCACGTAAATGCTTTTTATTTTTTGTCAACAGAAGCCAAGCTGAGGTTGAAGACTTTGGTATCCCAACTGGCTATGGTCTTTTCCAAGCTACAATCTATTATTATCAAGCTACTCGTTAATACTGGCATTTTTCCTTGCAGGCCGCCATTGTCACCAAAAATTTTTGCCAACGGTAAATGTATATTGAAATTTCGTTGCCAAATTTTTCTCTATTTTCGACATTCTCTTTACAATACTATATATATTTTTGTATTTAACACCTTACCGATTATCGCTACTTTCTCTTACTTCTCATAATTTCAGTGACGCAAAGTTCTCTGATGCTAATCGAGATGCTGCTGCTTTGTATAGCAGCGAGGTGCCTTTATTACGTTGACCTGGAAAAAAAAGCAGATTCGTCGAGAACAGATCGGTCGAAAGACAAGAATAGAAACGATTTACCTGAACAACTTTCCAACAAAATCGCTGTAGTGACCATCTCTTGAACAATCGGAACGGTCGTTCCGTTATTTGTATCAAGATCTACAAATAGAGAGAGAGAGAGAGAGAGAGAGAGAGAGAGAGAGAGAAAGACAGAAAGACAGACTATTTGTTAATCATTCTGGGCCTGAATGGAATTCGTGCAATATTTCAATCAAAGCTTACGAAAGAAAAAGTCTTCTTTTAAATATTTTTAAGTATGTATTTATATGTGGATCGATTTTTGTCAGAGTACCTTAAAAAGTTGATCGTTGCCAGAGACAATTAGAATTACCTTTCTATTTTATACGATATATCCTTATATATATTAATTTTCTTTTTACAATAGAGCGGTAAATAAAAAGAATAGAAGAAATAAGAATACCGAACGATTGAAAAGGAAGAAACGATTTCGAAATTATAATGGTAATTAGAATGGTAAGGAAAAATAAGAAAATAAATGGCGATGGGGAGGTACTTAAGTAGATACTTAGGTCTCCGAGTGAGACCGATGCCGAGATTCGAGAATATAACTTTGCATTATCGGCCGAAGTAGTTTTAAGGTTTCGTATTCTTGAAAGAAAAATGTTTTAACTCAAGAGCCAAGAAGTAGTATATAAGATAAACGTAGAACTTTTGATAAGACAGTAGCAGCCACTTTTTTACTTATTATCTCCGGCGTTTTATCTTCGAGCTGAACAATTGAATTTATTTTATTGCCGACGAAAATTTGTATAAAAGAAAGAGTCAACTTTTAGCGAATAATGTTCATCCTTGAAATCGTTTTCTATATGACGATGCGAATAATTGCATAGCGTACAATGAAAATTCAAGGGAAAAAAATAAAAATTGATTTTCATCGAAATGTTCGTCGATTACTTTAGCTTGGATGGAAGGACAGGACACGGTAAACGTTTATCGCGAAGCATCTTAGAAGAGTGAAAGGAGGGAAGGGCAGAGGACGTTACACGGCGGTCTTCGAGTATATCTTGTACCCCCTCATTTTTGGAGCGATTTGAAAGGACCACTACCTACCTTCCTTCCTACCTTCCTACCTTCCTACCTTCCTACCTTCCTACCTTCCTACCTTCCTACCTACCTACCTACCTGCACAGGCTGACCCACGAAAACTACAAAACGCGTTCTCCTCGTCTTCTTCTTTTTTTTTTTTTTCGTGGTTCTTTCAGCATCCTTCTCTCCGTCTTTCTCCTTGTCTTTTTTCGGTTCCACGATCACGATCGAGCTTTAGAGAGGCATAATAGATTTAACAGTTTCCTTCCTAAGGATATCAGCTTATAGGGGTAAAGAAATTTCTTCTACTCGGTTCATTTCACCTTCTCTCTACGACCTAATTCCAAGTACCATCATTTTTTCCTTTGGAAATTTGCCGAAGGCCCTTTCCGAAGGGTTTTACGACAAGAACGAGATAAAAGGGCAATTTGAGTACCGAGAACGACAAGTATAGTAACTTGGAAATAACCGATTGATAATTCACCGTGGGACTAATTAAAGGTAGTAAGGGATCAAATTACGTTGCGATCCCTCCACCGATCTCGAGACTAAATAACCTTGAGGCCCGAGACAGCTCGAAGCAGCTTCGTCTTTTTGCGAAGGCGGAGCAGAAAATAACTGACAAAGGTATTTTGCTAGCTAATGAGCCGGCGTATCTGTCGAGGTTTTAACGTAATCATTTTTTCGGATGTATACTAGCCATTTATTATAATTTCATGTAAATTTAATTGCAAATGATATTTGAAAAATTCCTCGCCATTTCTAATTGATTTTCTTCATTGGAAAGGGAAGAGAGAGAAAGATGTTTTGTAAAGTTTTATCAAGTTTTAAATGGTAACCCTTGAGAGATATCTAAACTACCCGAGGATTTACTCCTAAAGTGCCACTTCGGAGGTACTCTCCTGCTGCTGCCAGATTTCTTCAGGACTTTTGGGAAAAAAGAGATGCGTAGCCCATGTGGTGGTCGCGCGAGAAATCGGAAAACGTTTCCCGTGAGCATCGACATATGGCACGCGGCTAGACCTTACAATATAATTCCGAAAATCCTCTTAAATAATGCTTTTGGATAATCAATTTTTCGTAGCTTTCGTATCCTTTGGGAGAGTTATCTTTCGACGGTAACTACTCGTTTTAGTTACGAGCAATTTCGTGTAAAGAATAATGGACATTCGTGCAGGTGTACCCTGGGTCATTAGCTTTTGTCGGATACTAAGAAACGCGTGCATAAAATTATCTACGAAAATTTGGAAACGTTTCGTGTATATAACCATATCGCGTGCATGCAGTTAAAAAGAACAAAATACAGAGGTTAATGTCGAAAGAAAAATTGGCAATTGTACGGAATTTATCCGCGTAATAAATAATTGTCTATCCTAGAAACTCCATAAGTTACGATCCAAAAGAAAACATCACAAAATTCGCATAAATTGCTTCGAGGCGACCATTATACTTCGCTTTACAACATTCATAATACGTAAATAACAACGTTGGAGAATCTTGTGGGGGCGTCTTGATTCCCCCTCGAGCATTTAGCATATTTTATAAAAGGGGATAGGAGAAAAAGAAACTAAATGGAAATGAAAAAAGATGAAAGAGAGAAGGAGAATGGGTGCTCTCGCTGTCGAATTAAAAATCGAATATTATGAAATTAGCTTGGGGAGAGAAAAGATGAAGAAGGAGAAGGAGAAGAAGAAGAAGAAGAAGAAAAGCTGGACCATCGAGCAATTTTGGGGCAATTTTGTGGCCGACCGCCTTTCCTCCTCCGAGGCACACCGAAGGGAAAGGAAATAATGAGCAACGCCGTCGGCAACCATATGGTCGTGCGCAACGAAATGCACGAAGCATTGACGAACTCCAGATACCGCAGAGTCAGCCTCTTCCGGATGATGATCGATCCATACGATCTACGAAACAGAACTCAATATTTAACAAATCTAATTAATAATAGCGCCTCTAAATAACTAATCCTAAGTGAAACAACGATTAACGAAGAAGGATTTTTTTCTTTTGGACACAAGGTATTCCTGAAATCTTGTTAGAACCTAGGAAGCAGCATCCTCTGCTTTCGTCCGATAATAAATCCTACTTTTGGAGAATTTGTCACGTTAGAAGACGCGTAAAAAGGATCTTATGTTAGATGTTCAATAGCGATTCGGAAATCTTTCGGTTACCACCTGTCCCCCCTCAAGGGAATCGTTTAGAGACAAATTTTCTTTTCCAACAGTTTTTCAAAAGAGGGAGAAAGAGAGAGAGAGAGAGAGAGAGCGACAAGATTTAATGGTAAGAATGAAAATTTGTCTCCGCGGTACATTCGTCGAGAAAAAAAAAAGAAGAAAAAAAAGAAAGCAAAGGGAAAGAAAGAAAGATAGAGCTATTTTTGAAAAGGGAGAGAAGAATTTTATGCTTTGTTAGATATACTTTTAAGGAATGAAATCTAGACGGAGGCCCTTCGTCGAATATACTTTGACGGTTGAAAGGTGCCAAGGAAATTATTTTCCTAAGGATAATCCATTATCAATTTCGTGCTAGCTTTCATTTCAATTATTTTGCAACTTCTCTTTTGTTCGTTTAAGCAGACAATTGATTTATCGTGTGTGAATTATTTTTATTTTCAACTTATTTATAAATTTCATTCGATTGCAACGACATCACGAGCACGTTTTATATATTTCTTCGTGTTTCGTCCCTTTCACTATATTTTTGTCTTGCGATTAATCTTATCGAAAAACGTATCTTAACTAATAATCTTCATTCGTTCGTTGGATCTTCGTGAAGAATTCTGACTCGTAGGACGAAAGAAAATATTGTTTTTAATTTGATCCGAAGCACAGGGAGTATCCAGTTTCATACGAGGAATAGTCGTACGTGGACGCGGAGCAACAACAAAGGAGAGAAGATCTTTCGGAAGAAAACGCGGTCAGAATTTCAAATGTCCAGATTTTTTCCTTCGATAATAATGAAAAAGAAAGAGAAAGAAATAATAATGGAGATGGACGCGATCTTAGGGAAAACCGAGAGCACGTAATCCTTCGCGACGTGGATTACGATCGATAAACAAGAACTCTGGAAAGAACTTTGTATATACAGAGGCGAATCGTGCAACAGATCTTTCAAGATAATAGGGACGCCAATGAAAAAGAAAAAAAGAACAGAGGAATGCGTTCCGGATTATGGATCCTACGAAAATATCTCACACCTCTCGTTTCTAAAACGAAATCCCTTCGGGGAGGATTTCGACGGGTCCGAAAATTCTAAGCCCTACGTACGCTCGCGTTGTCAAATGATTAATAATTCATAATGCAATAACAATTTGTAAATATTTCATTTTCTTCTGTTTCTCTATACAAAGAAAATAACGTCAAAGAATGAGGATCAAAAGTACGATGGATTTCCTATCTTCCAATAGATATCATTCCAAACAACTAATATAGTAGATAGAAAAGAGATATAGAAATATAAACGCGAAACAGAGTCCAGGTGTGAGAAAAACTCTGGCACAATAAAATGTCATTCTCCATAGAATTTTGTAGATCCAAAGTGAGCGCCACCCCTAAACGTAGCCTAGATGAATAGATCCCCATTTGGTAGGCCTTTTTCTATTGCCACCGGGCATAAACCGGCCGTTTCAAAGTCTATCTATATACGTATATATATATATATATATATATATATATATATATATATATACTCAGGGATGAAACTCGGCTCGTTTAACGTCACATATATTTCACCCCACAATCAGGCAGCGAGACAAATACCCTTATTTGTACACATCCTGTGCATTGTGACGTAGAACGAAGCACCCAGAGAATTCGACTTCCGGTTGAATATGTATTTCTATCCTTTTCTTTTTTCTCCAATACTTTTGAAAGCTTTATTTTCGAAAACTGGGTGGAGCAAAGTAACCCCACACCATTTTGATCGTTCACTAGAATTGCGATCATTCGATATCTTACGTATTTCTTGTTTACAACTTTTCCAAACACCGGATGTTAAGTACGTAGAACGTTGGATTTTTCAACAGCGAGGAAATAGCCTTTTTCCAGCTTTTCATCTTAAAAATAAATAAATGAGACGAACAGAGGGACCAGGTTATATTTTAACTAGAATCAAATTCTAATAGTTTCCTCTTATTAACATCCTGAAAAGAAGATCGTAAGAGATAACGATCCTTTTTAGCATTTCAGAGTCCTTTGTCTCTCTCATACACACACTTACACTCTAACGTTTGCTTTAGAATGTATTATAGACGCGATAGACATGATTCGACGATTCGGCAGGATGACTTTTGTATTTGGTATTTTGTGTCATAACGAGGGTGGTTTCTTAGTTAATAAGAAGTGCTTCTTCTTGTTGAAAAATGAGAAAGTTTAAAAGAGAAGGAAATGAAAGGTCCGATCGGTAGGCGAGAATTTTGTAATAGTTTTATTCCAATTGCAGAGGGGAAAAACGATGTAGCCTTAGGGAGAGCATTGGGATAGGTACGTAGGGATTGTACAGTACGGTCAACCATATGTCGAGGGACGAGCTTGGTTTAGAAATAATTATAAGGGATGGTATAGGAGTCTGAGAAGGGTGGGGGAGTGAAACCCATAGAAGTGGGGAGAGACCGTAGCCTACATAAGGAAGCTTCCAACGATGGAGGGGTCGCAGTAGGAAAGAATTTTTCGAGAGTATCGTTTCTTCCTCTATTCGAAAAGTGTTTTATATTACGAAATATATTAGTGAGAGATCGAATAAATCAAACTCGACATGGAAAACGTTTCATGGCTGATTATTTTAAGTTTGTGCGGATGTCTCGCCGATTGTATTGACCTTGGACCATTCATTAGGATTGCACAGTGTAGATCGCAGTGTCTTCAAAAATTTAGGACCGATGAAACGTACGATTGGTTCCCCGGTCGACAAGAAAATCCTTGCGCTGAGGTAATTCAAATATTGTTCATATTTTTTCTTCATTCACACTTTGTGTCAAATGAAATGCAAAGTATTTTTCCTTAATGAGAATTATATCGATTAGGAAAGAAAGACAAATAAGTATTCTAAAATACATTGAAATCCGTTGATCTATGTAAAAATAGAATCTCTCCAGTTGAAGATTAAATGAAAAGATAACACAGGAGAAGTTATTTTTCGTTCGTATTCGAAAACGAATAGGGGGTCCCTCGAAAGGACGATAAATCTTTTGGTGTTCGGTTTTACGGAGCGCCATGGAAAATCATGGTGATCCCGGGACTCCCCCTTATTTTTAGTCAGGACAGTCATCGTTCCCCTATCGATGAACAGATGGAAATCTCGATTAACGAGAGGGCTCGTACGATAATAGAAAATCTACTCTAAAATCGCATATATCGCATTTCGATAGATGTTCATCATAGAATCTTACCGCGAATTATTGTAATAAAGTAGACGTTTATAGGAGAAGGAGGAGGATGTTGGAGGGGGTTCATTAATTTTGAGGAAAATCGCATTCCGTGTGTGTGCTAGCACGCGCTAAGAGGCTGACAGAACGCCCCCATAACGACGATTATCTCGCCTTCCTATTTTCAAATATGAAATGTATTGTTAATACATTAGTGCATGTAAAAGATATTAGTATAACAGTCAAAATTATCTAAGAGTATTGTAATATGTGATTAAGATATTTCGAATAATGATAGTATCGCAATGAAATATTATTACAATTTGGATCTCCTACGTATGGTTTTTCTCGAAGAGACGTTGTTAAATAAGCGAGAAGGTCTACATATCGTTTTCTCCGAAGAGTTGGAAATGTTTTAGTTAGTAGAAAGGAACGAGAGAGGGTACCCCAATAAATATAAAGACAACAACGACAGTGGCTTTTATGCTGGAACAGGTTGGAGCTAATTCGAGGTACTCGTCCTCTCCTCGAGAGTAATGCCGCCGATTCGATGACTTTTTATTTCTTTCTTTCTTCCTTCCTTCAGGATTCTTCCACCTTCCTCTTTTTTCTTACATTAGCTGTTAAGGCTTTTTACTCGCACCAGAGCTGATCGTTTCTCTTATTTTTCCCTGTTACAGTGCTGGCAAAATTGCGAGGCCGTGGAAAAACGATGGGAGGAAGCTAGGAAAACCATTTGCGAACAAAATGATCGCTATGAGCAAGTATGAGTACCTTATTATTATTATTATTTTTCTACCGACCGACTTGAAATTGTTAGGGTTGCGTCAGGGTTGAACATGGGACGGGCAACGAAACGAAACGAAAAAAGATCTCTTATGCTTGTCAAAAATAATCCCATGAGATATAAAAGGGAAAAAGATCATAGGTAGTAGAGCCAATCTGTCGATCTTCCGTAAAATAGACCGAGGGCACCTAGAATCCTTAGAAACGTTTACCCTTCGATTATTACGGTTGAACGAACAACTTCGATAGAAAATCGTTTCTTTCTACCTTTTTCTTTCTAATCTTATTTCCTAGTCTTCGAAATCATTATGCTTCATTATTATTACAGTGTCCAGCTTGTCAGATAGCGTGTACCTATCGAGAGACGAGAGTAGCAGAAAAATATCTCCCTTCGATGTTACCAGCACCAAAAAAGGATCCAGTAACATTAGACAAATTCGACGTAGCCATAGTATTGCGAAAAATAAATAACGAATGGAAAGACATGGGTTATTATCCAGGAGGAAGACTACCAAAACTTCGTCTAGACAGTTGGATCATCGTAATCACGGAACAAGGTATAAATCAATACAGCTGGCAAGAATGGGTACCTACTTTGGAGTCTTTGAAGGAAGGATTATTATACGAAGCTACCGTCTCGTGGAAAGATCTATCGACTCAATTGAGAAGACAAAAAATGCTTCAACAAAAGAAATTAAACGACAAAGTTAAACAATTGTTTCTCGAGAAATATGGTGAAAAAGTTTTAGCCGAATGGAGGAACCACGAAGATTCGCAAATGTCCGATGAGGTATTCAGAAGATTTTTCTTCAGAAGGGAGGACGAACGCAACGACGACGAGGTTTCCGAAGCTGACGATGCTAACAATACTGCTAACTCTTTGGAAAATCCAAGCACCAAGAAGAATGAATCTTTGAGTGAAAAACCATCCTATATAGTATCCTGGGAGCCAGAAACTGGTGGTCTTATCGGTAATCAAGTAACAGAATCAAATTTTGTTCAAATCTCTCTTTACCCTGGCACCAAGTATCTCGTTAGGATAGCATCCAACGAAGGACCCGGCAGTTTTCCTATCGAAGTCGATACCAGGCCAAATTCCTTCCAAATAAAACGAGTCAAGATCAAACACTGTGATACATATTTTTTCTGGTATTTCTATTTTGCTTTTGTCTTCCTTGCATTACTATTACTTATTCTTCTTGTCAGACAGCTTAAGAAAAGAAACAACAAAGTCATTGTCGAAGACGTTTAAAAGCATCGTTGCGTTTCTCGTACAACTATCGATTGTATTAGAAATAACGAACGAATTCGATGTCGTCAATTTTTTCATTACGTACGTCTGTCTTATCATTTGTTGGATTATACGATAAATGTCAATGAATGTACAAATATCGCTCAGGAGATTTAGAATAACGAAATGAGATCTATTTTTTTACTCTGTCAGATTATAATAATAATACGAATAGATCCTATTGGAGCTTGCAACGAACAGACTGTATAAAAGAGTTCCTATGACGTAGACGAGAGATCTATTGTCGGTATGCGTAAGTTGTGTATTTATTTGTACATAATTAATATAATGATTGTAAATAATTTAGAAATAAACAAACAAAAAATACAAAAATGATATGTATTACGTATATTTCTAAATACATACCTATCATTGATTTAGGAATAAAAAGTATAAGTTTGAAAAAAAATGATGATATAATTATTGATTATATTTAATAAGAAATTCGTCGAATCGTAGCGTTGCCGTTAAAACGGTTTTATCCCACGAGAATAAGTGGAAAGACGATGATGAACGTTTTCAGGATCGTCTTCAGGGTTCATCGAACTCTCCTAAACGAATAGTAAGAAGAAGTTAGACGTCGTATACGTACAGAGGTAAGCGTACGCACGCACACTTAGAAGAAAGTATGTCGTGGCCTCGAACAAGGTCCCGTTATCCAAGGCAAGGCCTTGATCGTCTTCATCCTCAGTCTTGACTCGATACTCGAGTAAAGATGATACCTCTTGTTGCTTGTTTAACCCTCTTCATTGGTCATCATCGTGAACTTGTTCCTACGAACAATGGACTTACCATAGGGGCAACGACTTTCTTCGGACTCGTTGCGTCTTTGCCTTTTGGTCTAGCTGCTGGGCCTAGGTACGTTCACATTAAATGCTATTTTCCAATCGTTTATTTTATAAGTGTATATATTTCACTGTGTATATATTTCACTGATATTTTCATAAATACAAAGATACGTTCCAAAATGGAAGAAACAAGCTTGCGAGATCCCAGCGTCGCAGCATCCAAATTCTCATTACGTTTGTGACGAAGCCGGTGAAGTGAAATGTTTGTTAGGTAAATCATTAATAAATGAAAATGTCTATCAACAATTTTGTATCGTGTCGATTACATCGTACATAGGTTGGACCGGTGATCTGTGCGACGTACCAATTTGTCGAAAAGGTTGCGATCCCCTTCAAGGTTTCTGTCGACGTCCGGGGGAATGCAGGTGCAAGATCGGCTTCTACGGCGAGCTCTGCGATAAATGCGTGGCTCTACCTGGTTGCCAACATGGAAGGTAAACTCGCCCACGTAGCATACTAATCCGAGCGCTTTCTTTTTCAACACATGTCGTATCGATACGCGCGAGAGATCGATTTCCGGTAAAAGGATCGTGACCATCGATCGAGAAATGAAGTTCTCTTTTTAACGACTACCGATTGTTGTCTCGTTCAGGTGTAACGTCAGTTTCGAGTGTGCCTGCGATCCTGGATGGAAAGGATTGTTCTGTTCGGAACCGATTTGTGCACACGATTGCCTACCGAGTCAAGGATATTGCAATAAGCCAGGAGAGTGCAGGTATATTATAGATCATTTTCTGTCGGTAATGAAGTATCCTATTGTATCGAGAAGCCGATTATACTTATGCTTTGCAGGTGCCGGTTAGGGTGGCAAGGACCAAGATGCAAACAGTGCGCCGTTTTACCAGGATGCGTTCATGGAACTTGCCAAGGACCATTGGAATGTCGATGCGAACCTGGCTGGACTGGGCTATTGTGTCAAACTCGTGAGCCTTTTTTTCCATCCATTGACGTTTCGTTAATCATTCTTGTTTTAATCGTCAAGGATTACTTTTGCCTTCGCAGCTATTTGCGCAACGGGATGTAGCAAGGAACACGGTGGATGTCGTCGACCCGATACATGTAGGTGTCGGGTTGGTTGGACTGGTCAAAATTGTACCGAATGCGTCCCGTATCCAGGATGCCTCCACGGATCCTGTAAAAGGCCCTGGGAATGTAGATGCGATTCTGCTTGGGCTGGCGATCTTTGCAATGAGAAATTAACTTATTGCGACGATAATTCCAATGTCTGTCGAAATAACGGGACTTGTGTCAGCATGACACCGGAAGACGGCGATTATAGGTAATTCGACGTCTAATTTATATCGAAATTACGTCGATCATTCGTCGTTATGTATTGCAATGAAACGCCTGATTATTATCGCAGATGCATTTGTCCAATCGGTTATATGGGTCGTCAATGTCAAATTAAAACGACGATGCCATCGACCGAGTTGACACCTCCCATGCCAGATCCAGGATCGATCAATTCGCAAAGCGTATCGATTAAACCTCAAGTCGTCGGCAGCGAAGAAACGCAAACTGCGGAACCATTAGGTCCCATAGTAATAACGGATCCACCTTCGACCATCGATCCTTCGGCGACAGCTGGGAAATGGCCAACCGAGCCGCCAACCGAGCCGCCAACCGAGCCGCCAACCGAGCCGCCAACCGAGCCGCCAACCGAGCCGCCAACCGAAGATGACGAACAAAACGAGACTTGAAGCGCCACATTTTTCTTCCTTTTATATTTATTTATTTATTTATTATTCTATTCTTTATGTTTGATCATTCATTTTTTCATGATTACTCGTGCATATGTATTATGTTGCATACTTATTATTTAAATCGAATGTAAAGATATCAAATGAAAGATTTAAAGCTTTGTGTTCGGTAAAATTGCGTGGGCGACGTGGTTAAAGATTTTCCCCGATCGCTTTCTCAAAACACGCTCGCATCGTTGGCTTATCTTCGGTGGCTAAGTTCGACGTAAATGGTGGTGGTTGCAGTGTGCTGCAACATTCGCCGTCGCGCTTCGACGACCACGCTCTGTCGATTTAGTTATAAGTGCATTGGCTGCATATATGTAATACGTTAATTGCAAGTATAAATGGGGTGGACAAGAAATTGATGTGTTCCCACCCATCTTCTATGACTTCGTTCAATTCCATTTGTCCATAAATACTTTTTTTCCCCAAAATTCATATATCTTCTCTTGGGATATATGAGAGTCTGTATTTCGATGTGACACCCTATATAATTGAGGCGTGCATCCAGATCTCGCTACCCACGTAATCCTACCGACTTACGTAACAATTCGAACAGAGTCGGGTACCAGACGTCTCTCCTCTTTCACCAAGCCTAAATAACGACGACCAATGCTGAACCACCACATTAATGGCCACTTTACTTATAACGCGAGTCATTTTTTTCTTGGAAAATAATTACAATGAAAAGTAATATAACGCAAATGGTGGTTCGGTCTTATCGATCGATATGACGTTATGCTCGCTCATTTATTTGGATTACGCGTTTCCATTAGGTGAAATAACGAGCCGATAAAGCAAGATCGTTCGATAGTTTAGTATTTAATAGACGCGGGAGACCGGTTATGGCGTCTCGTTTTATCGATCGACTGCCGAGCATTCATCCACTTCCGCTTTCTCGAGGAATCGATAGATTGGTAGATCGAAACATCTCGATCGCAGGACTCACCACCGGTATTCTAATAGAAATTCTAACAAAATGGAAAGTTTTATCCTAAAATCAGATATAGGTCATTGAAGTTAAGAGAATATTTTCACGAGAAAATCGATTTCAAAAGAAAATGTCTACATGAATTCTATCTATTTATTTTCATAATAGACTTTTTACATGGGACTTTGATAAATAAATAAAAAAAAAAAAAAAAGGAATCGAAAAGAAAACGTTAAAAGTGAAAAGTGCATCGATTGGCTACTTCTAGAGCGAAACGACCTAGATTCTATAAAACACGTGGAACGGATAAGGACACGCATTACGTATTACATATGTATCGGAAAGCGAAGAACGCGTATCCAAGGAATGCATATTTGCATATATGTATAAGCATACGTGTAGATAAATTATACACGTGTGTGCGCGTGCGTCGAACCTTCCCTTCGACTGACGCGAATCACCCATAATTAATATTTATTAACGAAACGTTTCTCTCCAATACGTAGAGTGAAATGAATGAAATGCAATTCTACTTTGTTTTTTCAATATTTTATAAAATCATCCAATCCGAGGAGAGAGAGGAGTTTGCCAAGTCGGTTTCCCTTTCGATCCGGCTCGCCCTTCGAATTCCAACGGATGGCCCCCACTTTATCGATATTTTCCTCCCACTGTGTAAGGTAAGATCGATTGACGATTCCTAGCGACATTGGAATAGGAGCGATGGAAGAGTAACACCGTGAGATCCAAACTTACCTTTCGAGCTTGGGAAAACTTGTTCTTGCGACAAGTCCTATTGCGTATTGCTGTTTATTATCTAGGACAATCGTAGAAGAGCTCGTAGATTCGAATAAGAGAAGGTAAACGCGAGCTCAACTAGGATAAAAGAGGCTCATTTCTGAATGAACGTGTTTATTATGTATTACATGTTCATTAACTTTCGTTTTTTTGAACGAATAAATATGATCTATTTGCGCTGCCGATCAAAGTATATAATAAAGTTTATTAAAATGCAGATACGATTATTTATGCATTAATGACGTTACTTTGGCCAGTTTGATCGATAGAAAAAAAAAACATAGAAAAAAAACACACACACACACACAGAAAAAAGAAACATAGATAAATATTAACGGGAACGCGTTGATATTTTCTCTCCTTCGTTTCAACTAGATTATACACATATATGTGGTAATTACATATTAAATGACGTCGCAAAACGAATTTAAAGGAATGTAACGATAAAAAAGCATAGCAAGTTTGTAACTTATTAAAATTCACCGAGCGTATTTGCGTAAAACTTTCCGTCTTGTTTAACCGATATTAAAGTTGCACGATTTCTAATTAGTCATTTACCAGTTTTACTGCAATAACTTAACGATTGTTATTATCCGGGTAAAATGTTTTTATTTATTTCCTCGTTGAATTGATTTGGTCTATCGTAAATAGGGTCCATGCGTAGTGTTTAGAATTGTCGGTAATTCTTCGACTAAATTCTATTATTTTCTCGTGATATTGATTACGATCGTATCAGAATTTTACTAACAAAGAGAATGGAAAGTAAAGGGACGCGGCACCGCGATGGAACGGAGTGCAACGAATTGGAACGAAACTATTCTAACGATAAGTCCGGATTCGATTAATCGAAACAAAAGAGACCCGCGAAACAATGTCTTCGATAACTCAACGAGCTAATCATTGGAAAGATAGTCGATCTAACGGATTAGATTAAGTCTAAATTCCTCGGTTGTTTTTTATTATTCCAAAACGAAATAGTACATTTATGCGAGATTACTTTACAAGAGTCGTTTTGAAATGATTCATTGCAGATCATCGAACTACCAATCGATAGAAATTATCGCGTTTGGTAATCAGCGGTCACCTTCGACTATGCAACTATCGATGCACGCAACGTGCACTCCAATAAGCATCATTTTATCTTTCTTTCACAGTCAAATGAATCTTTGGTTAGATTTTTCTCTTATTAATAATACAATTATATCATGCCATTTATTATGCATTCACGCGTAATAATGATTAGAAACCGATTAGACTACGTGATAAATAGAGCATTCATTCAGGACCCTAGTTAGAGCAGGAATAAGAACCACTCGGTTGGTAATAGATTACAATTGTAAATCGTAAAAGGACGTAATCAAAAATGAAATCATTTTAATTAATTACACATCGTATTTTCCCTGCAAACCGTCTACTTATAATTAAATCTTATAATTATAATTATATCGGAAAATAAAGAACACACATTTGTCTTCGTAGCAAACTCTGGTGCAATTAAAACGTTGCATTGGTATAACTTTCGTAAGTCAAAAGGATAAAACATTTGCACTATAATTCCAACGTATAGACGCTAACGTTAGTAGATACTTGGCAAGAAATTTCATCAGATCTATTCTACGAGTTCACACTCGGTAATTTTCGAATCGGCAATAGTGATTATGGCAAGGTCTCTCTAGGTTGAAGAGAAAAAACAAGTTAATCGAGAAAGAAGCCTCGGGGCAAAGCCTTTTCGCGTAAAAGATCATCGAAGTCTATGACCTATCGCAAATAAGTTCTCTGTCATGGTCGCGGCTCGGATTAATTCTCCCATAAAGCACGTTTGCAGTTAACCTTGCTATTGTTCCGCAAAGTTGACCCCATGGACGGTGGACGGTCAATGAAACCGTAGCTTAACAGGTTTCGCCTTTTCTAACGATACGCGTAATTTAGATCTAGCTGTTAGATCGTGAAACTATTCGTTCTCGCGATAAATATCAATATCTCGTGGAAATGACAGTCGAGTCATTTGACGGTTTGTCAATCGACGTACCGTTTCGCGAGCGAAATCACTTTCCTGACCAAATTCGTACCTATGGATAAACAATTAATACCTACGTATATCCCTCTAACGAGAATATACGAATGGGAGAACTTTTTTTTTTCACTTTCACCGTCGGAATCGAGCCAAGTCCCGTCACCGTTAGAACCAGTTCTTCTGAATTTTTCAACTCCCTTGGACTCTGACTCAACCTCTCGTGTGAGAAACACATACTACGATAAAACATTCTCCCGGTTAACAATTTTTCATCGATAATTAAATGTAAAATCTTGTTCATTATATTTATTTCATTATTTTCAAATATGGTTAGCATTGCATCTACGTTTACGATGCGTCAGAATTTCGTTGATACCATTAATGATCTAGGATTAACTAATTGCCTAATGCCTCTGCAGAGAATATTTAGCACGTATCTACGAAAATAATAATAAAATATGTTAAAGGAAAGATAAAACTTTCCCTTTCGGTGGTGTACGACTCTATTTGATCATTTCTAAGCGTAGATTTTTACTTTCAATGACGGAAGCTGGATCAAGCTCTTGTGGTTAAAACCTAGGGTGATCTAATAGCAAGTGACGGAAGTCTATTAGAATATCGATAGTAATCCGATAGTCTTTTTAAATAGAAACTCGTGCTCGTATTAAATATCGATCGTTATCGAGTTTATCCAATATTTCCTTCTTTATTATTCCAAGTGAATAAATCGAACGCGAAAGATCTGACGCGAGAGAAATATATCATTGGAAAAAAATATCGAACGCAAGATATTACTTGTTCCGAGGAACGCGAAATATTATTGAGAAGAAAAATATTTAGATAGATTTTATAAAAAGTGGTCATCGTAAAGTTGCATGCAATGTACGTGTAAATGCGTACTACGGTACGGACCGGCAAACTTTCTACCTACCTTATTTATTTTCTTCCATGCAGGAGTTTAAAATTCGACATCTTGTTTAAATCTTGACCATAAAAGATAATACCGATTGTGAAAAAGAAAGGGATGCAAAAGGGTGTCACGTTCTCACCACGAATTGGCCAGGAATTCACACGTGCGTGACCAGATAAAAGTTAACCGATACGGTTCGCCGTATTTACGTGTAGAATGGAGCACCATTATCTGCATGGGAACGGATCCGGCATATACGGGACAAGATTCGAAGTTGTGTCGTGAGCGGTGCAAGCAAAGCGCCGACCTAAGACTATGACACACCTCCCTCGGCCACTTCCGGTCTTACAATTAGATCGAAAGATCGTTTATGCAATCCGATCACATTGAAGTAATATAATAAGATATATAGAAAATAATTCATTTTTGTATTGACATTCGAGTGAATATTTATTTGTTCAGTTCTTAACTTCATCGTTAATAATTACATTTTACACGCGAGTTCTCGTTCCTTCTACCGTGTCCAAGTGTAAAGATATACCTTACTAATTACTAAACTTAAAATTACAAACATTTGTTTGGCGCCGATCATCAACCGTTGCATCTATTTTATTTGAAAAACAATCGTACATTATTTCTATCCTCGAGTTTGATAATCTTTCCAAAAATTGGCAGACGTAACTTTTACTGTTACGAGATTTACGTATGCGCATTATATGCATTGAGCTATCGACTGATGCAGAAACTCTTATCTCTCAAGCCTCCCACTTATTCGCGTGAACGTATCGCTTTAGGAAATCGGTCTTGTTCTTCGTCTTCTTTTACGATCGAGACACGAGCATGACTTTCTATCTCGACGTTCAAACGCGCAGAAATTTATCCGACTGCATATAAATCAATTGTTCTCTCTTCCTTCTTTCCCTATCCCCTAAAAATAGAACAACAAGTCGAATAAACTCAATGCTCGAAATATTCGAGTTGTCCTACCTAGCTTTTAATTATTACCCAGGCAAAATGACATAAACGTTCGAACGAATACAAAAAATAATATGAAATTTCGAAGGAAATCATTTGCATAGCTATCAAAACTCGGGATATAACCTGAATAATTATGTTAAATCTGGATTTAAACGCGCATTCATTTGCAAAGATCACACCCAATAATCAAACACAGTTCGGTTTCCATATTAAAGAATCTAACTCGTTTTAAAACTTTGAATTGCGTCACGCTTTCTAACTTGAACATGACGAATTCGTTACTATTATTATTTTTGTTAAACCGTCTTACGAAATGACTATATTAGGGAAAAACCTTTTAGAAATATTAACATTGCAAATGTAACAATTTGGATTTCGTACTTCTTTGACATTTTTCATATTGATCGAATGGAAATAGTCTAAGGATTTTTGATTTATTCAAATATATTATTCGTAGACAGAATTAAAAAATCCTGACTAATCGTTATTTTTTTTTTCCTAGAAAAAATAAATGAATTTTTATAAATCATTTGACTTTATCCAATAAATCGGTTATTTTTGTATGAAATAAAAATAAAGGAGCTCTGGGTGATTAATGATCAAGACAAAGCACCGACCATTGATAGTTCAGTTCAAGGACTTGAAAGGAGGAACGTTACTCTTTTTTTCAATGCAGCAAGAAGAATCGAAAGATGTCAAAAGAATGGCAAATGTCACGGGCCATAATTATAATATCCATTTCTTCAAATCCTTTTAATGAAATTGTACTCTTGTTTATTCGAACGAGTCTCGATAAAAAGATAAGAAATAAGAAAGATATCGACGCTTAAGAAAATGCCACTCATCTATCACCGTAATTAATTCGTATTCGAATAGGAACACGATCGAAACACTCTTGAATCCAATTATTTTCGTAATTACAATTGATATATTATTATTAATCAATTATTATTTGCTATTAAACACAAAGAAGACTGATAGATAGGTACTGGATTGTTTCGCGTATCCACATAAAATGGTCGTCTTAACTATGCAGAATAGTCATACTCGAGCATGAGAAGATATTATAAGAGTGTGTAGGTTTACGTGTGTGCATAGTATATAGAATAAATTGGTAGAACATTTAGTAAGTTATACAACCGTAAGTTATGTTTCTAACATATGTATTATGTATTATAATATGTAACAGGTATACTTATGCGTTGTATGGTAAGTAAATAGAGGCGTGTGGTAGGTGTGGCGTTGGTTTAACGCATGGCCATTGGTTTCCTATTGGAGGGGTGTATGTACGAAATGAAAGTCGATTCCCTATATAAAGGGTGGTTTTCATCGAATACAACAGAACTGATTTAATTTAGCAAAGGAGACTTGCCACCACAGTAGTATCGGTCAACATGAAGGTCTTGGTACGTTACAACGATTATATTTTCGTAAAAATATCGATAACGAACTTCTCGAGTGTTTTTCAGATTTGCTTGATGCTGATTTCGGCGGCATATGCCGGGGAGAAGGCGGAAGAAAAGGTAGATGAAAAGACTCTTACAAAACGTGGCCTTTTGGGTCTTGGATATGGAGGTTATGGAGGAGGTTACGGAGGAGGTTACGGAGGAGGTTACGGAGGAGGTTACGGAGGCTACGAAGGTGGTCACTCCGTCGCAGTTGCTACCGTTCCCGTTGAAGTACCAAGACCATACCCAGTTCCCGTTGACAGACCTTACCCGGTTAAGGTAGTCCCCTTGGAAATTAATTTTCGATGAAAAAAATGAATTGATTAATGATTGACTAAATGATTGATTTTACCAGGTACCAGTCGCTGTTCCACATCCAGTGCCAGTAGCCGTTCCCGTTGACAGACCTTACCCAGTTGTTCAGACCAAAACTGTAACGGTTCCAGTTGACAGGCCTTATCCAGTCTCCGTCCCTGTCCAGGTTCCAGTACCCGTACCCGCGCCTTACCCAGTCAAGGTAATTCCAATTGATCTCTCTATTCGAATATATGAAAATTATCTAAATCATCCATTGATATATTTTGTCGATACTTCGTTTGCAGGTACCAGTTGCTCATGCAGTACCAGTCCACGTTTCTCATCCGGTTCCAGTTGCGGTTCCACATCCTGTCCTCGTCAAGGAAACGGTTCCCGTTGTCATTAAGGGCGGTCATGGTCATTTTTAGATGAAATCTCTTCTCCTCTTATTATCTTTGCCTATTCGACCTTTCAAAAAGTACTCCACCCCCCACGGTTTAACACCCAAAATCCCAAAAACATCCGTGACGAGCGCAAATCAAGAAAAAGAAAAAAACACTCTTTCGTTATCCTCCTTCCCCGCTCTCCCTCTCACTCTCTCTTATCGTAGTAACTCGATGAAATAAATAATTGATTTTGTAAATGTTTTTCTAAAGAAATCTTACGTTTGTTTGTCTTTCTCTACCTTCCATTTGTTCCTTCAATTCGATTCGATTCGATTCGATTATACTTTCACTGCCAATTTTTATTTGTGCGTCTTCGATACGGCAGAATTCATCAAAATATTAATATCGTGGACAAAACTATGAGGATCTCTGCTGTAGATCTTTGTCTTGGACGATTTAAAAGATCGAGAAATAAAGAAAGAAGAATCCTTCTTGGAAAAAAGATCTACGAAACCGGCGAGAAATTTACGAAAAGAAATAAATTCATTCTACAGATTTACATATGTTAATTCGAAATCAATAATACTGTTCTTCTCCATAAACTAGTTTCATTAAATCAAATCTTTCCGAAAGAAATCCCAGACTCGGTAAAAAAATTCAACAACGAAGAATTCGGAGCAACGAGTTTTGATTAGAATGCATCTAGATTATCTTCCCCCATTTCATTTGTAATTATTATCTATTGTTATTTGACTTTGTTCGTTACTGGTCAACTCTGGCCAGATGAAATTCTATAATAGCATTGATATAAAATAATAATTATAAAATATCGTTTAATATATTGATTTCTCTTATATATGTGTAATAATGTAATGTTGTTGATTGGGAATAAAATTGTCTCTTTTCTGGAAGAAAATAAAAGAAATAAAAATGCTACTTGCGTAAGAGAGAGAGAGGCTGGTTTCTTCTCGCTACTTGTCGTACACACCCGGTTTGTTTTTTCTTTATTTCGGTAGCCCACCGCCACCACCATCGTCGTCGTCGTCATCGTCGTCGTCGTCTCTTTCGCTTTTTCGAGGGTTCGTCCCCTTTTCACGTATAAAAGCGAGAATCTTCTCGGACGAATTCATCAGTCGAAAAGACATCGAATCCTCGACATGAACGCTAAGGTAATTTATTCGATTCAAAGTATTCTGATTGAAAATCAGAATTCAAAAAATCATTCGTGCAAACATTGATTTCAGGTGTTTGCTCTTTTGGCCCTCGTGGCATTGACTACAGCCGAAGACACTTTGAACAAAGAGACGAAAAAAGATAAGCGAGGACTCGTTGAATTCGGTTACGGTTTGGGATACTCGTCTCAATACCCATCAATTGGTATCAGCCATGGAGTGTCTACGATCGTGACAAAAGAAGTTGCAGTGCCAGTCCCGCACCCGGTCCCTGTAACTGTCGAGAGGCATGTCCCGGTCCCAGTCAAGGTGAATTTTTTATTCGTCAAAGAAAAAATATAAAGATGCTTGCTCTAATAGAAATATAATGAAGGTAAAATCGATGATTGAAAGGCGAGTTAATGATCACGCTCTAGTTGCGATCTTACATTAGACGTCACCAAGTAATTCCTAAGTTGCAAGGACGTTCATTTCGAAATAGCAACGTTATAATTAGAATAAGAAAATGATTGTATTTTCAGGTGCCGTATGCAGTACCGGTAGATAGGCCGTACCCTGTACACGTACCCAAGCCTTATCCAGTCGAAGTAACAAAGCATGTTCCTATTCCGGTTGACCGTCCTGTTCCAGTTCCAGTAAGTGTCCCGGTCAAGGTCCCGGTCCCAGCCCCATACATAGTCAAGGTACCTCAACCTTATGGGGTCTATGTTTCCTCTGGCATTTCTTATGGTGGTCAATCTTCTTGGTAAATCTTCAGCAAAAACAACTTTCACTATACATTAATGTTACCCAAACAAGTGTAAGCTTTCGTATTTTTCAATGAAAAATAAAAACATAGAGATACTCGATTATGTCTGCTTTTCTTTATTTTCTTACTATTCATTTCAAAGTGGAAATTGTATTAGATATTCTAATATCTAAATATAATATACTCTCATCTTTTGGTACATACATTTCTTCTTATTATTAATGTCCTTGTAAAAGAAGTCTCACGATTACGCGAACAATTTGGAACGAATGATACTAAATGTTAAGTTATAGCTAAAAATGGATTGAAACGATCGAAAGCAAATTTTGCTGGTAATGGCAACTTTTTATAAGAAACGATTACATGAAATCGAATAAAATAAAAATATTTATTAAATATAAGGACAATATATTTATTATTCTGTAAAAAAGTATCGATATATTTTTTGAAAAACTCTCGATGAACATCGCCAATTTATATCAGTAAACTTTATCAATTAATCGATCATTAGTATAATAATGCGTGTGAGTATTAATAAGTATTAAGAAGAAATATCTAATGGCTTGATAATATATCAATGAATGTACCTATTCATACATCCACTATATATATATACTATGAAAGGCATTTAAACGCTATCGTCGATTCGAAGTTTTGACGTTTTTACTCATTTCCAATAGAAATCCATATGTTCCGGTGGTAAAGATTGTTTTCCTCGCGTCGCAAAAATGATAGAAATCTAACAGGAGCACATGATGATACAGGAGCTATCACGAAAAAAGTATTTGTCGTCATCACATAGAATGCTCATTGGTTGGCAATGACGCGAGTAATATCCAATCAAAGTACAGGAAATAAATAAAGACTGTCGGTAAAACAGTAAGAGATCCGATGGTAATTTACCGACCATTACAGATCCGTCGATAACTTACCCTAAGGTAAAATATTGTTAGAGCAACAATCTTATCGATAAAAGAAATGGAAAAATGTTTTACGAACATAATAATAGAGAGTAAGCGAATATTATTTATAATTGAACACTACTTTTATGAATATTTCTAATAAAGATTATTCATTATATCAAAGATACGTTGTTAGAAAAGGAATAATAAAAGGTCTGTAGTAGTATTTTTTAAAAAGTACACTTCGGAGAATGCATTGTAGTTTTTTAAACTTTGCATGAAATAGTTGAACAAACTAATGATTCATTTTTTTTTACGAATATCTACTGTATTTAATTATTTCTTATTAAGTTTAAAAAACTGCAATGTTTATAATATATTTTGTATTAGTAGTTTATAATTTGAAATCCCGGCTGTGATGTTTTTGGGTTCTCTACTCGCTAAAATTTTCTAGTCAATTTTCAATACTTAACCTTTCGCTAAGCAGCTCGAGGTGTGCTCATTTTTTAATATTAATGAAATGCAATTACAGTATTAATAAAATATATATATTTCATTTAAAAAGTAATTTTCTATATTAATAATAGAATCGATAAAATAATTTCAAATCATAGAGAATTAGCGGGATTTGAACTATCCTTCTTTTGGTCTTAAAACGTGCTCGTGCTACGCTTGAGCTATCAAGGATTCGTGCGCCGTCCACTGAATATTATTGACTATACTCAAGAACTTCAAAATAAAGGTATATTAAATATATTATTTTTTATATGATCAAGTAATCATCACATCGAGTCATTTTGTGCAGGATTATTTTTGTTTTTTCTTTTCCTTATTATGCCTAATGTACTTTTACCTATAAAAAGTAAAGTTGTATTAACCTTAACTGAGAATACTTGCGTATCTTTACAAACGTGGAGTGTCAAATGGATGTGATGAAAATAAAAAAGATGCAAAGTATTCGTATAAAAAAGAACAGTATTCAAAAGATATTAATTGTTTCTTTCATCTAGTACAAATTTTCTTTCAATTTCTATAACTATTCTTATATCAATATATGTAGTTTTACATTTTGTTTGAAACCTAAAAAACGAAAGGTTATGATTATTTCTATTTCATTAAATGCTAATAACTCTGATAAATAATTGATCAATAATTTTCTTGGATATTTGATATCGCAGATGTCGGGAAGCAAGTGTCGTAACTGTGGCTCCGTAGACATAGAGACAGATCCAGCACGTGGCGATGCCGTTTGTACAGAATGTGGTTTTGTTCTGGAAGACCAACTTATTGTCAGCGAAACCACTTTCGAGGAATCCCCGTCTGGAAATATGATTGCCCTCGGAGAATTCGTAGGAAAAGATAGCACGGGTAGAGCTACAGGTTTTGGGGCAGGTTCGTTGATACTTTTAATATAAATATACAATTTGTATATTTCATCTAAAATTGACTCGATACAATTTATCTACATGATGAGGTAACAAAAAGAAATGTTATTTTTTTCTCTTTAGCATACCGTGTCCGTGGAAAAGAATCTAGAGTTATAACATTACAAAATGCAAGAAAAGGAATACAGCATCTTTGTTTGCAATTACAGTAAGTTTCATCGATATCAATAATTTACTGCGATACTTATTATAGGTGACTAGATAAAATAACTAATTATAATTGGTATTAATAATACTACTTGGTAATATAACATTTATACTTTCTAATTCTATAATCTTTGTTTGTTATAAGACTCAATCAACGTCACGTCGATGAATCTGTTAATTTTTACAAAATGGCATTAAACCGACAATTAACTCGTGGAAGGAAGCAAGCTCACAATCATGCAGCATGTGTATATATTACTTGTCGTTCTGAAGGCACAGCTCGTATCCTTTGAATATGTTTCTACTCGAACAACTTTTCAATTATATATAATTACTTATTTACGATTTCCCTTAATAACTTACATAGATTTGCTTATCGACATCAGTGATGTTCTTCAAATTTGTGTTCATGAACTAGGACGGACGTATTTGAAGTTTACGCAAGCCTTATGTATCAATATACCTTCAGTAGGTAAGTATTTATTTAATTATTATATTTTGCATGATACATTATTTTAGAAATACTTTTCTTTTTTTCCAAAATTTCTTTTAATGAAAGTTCCATTTAATTAAAGTAGCCATTGTTTGACCTTAAATAATATGATATACTTAATACTTTTCTAATAGAGAATATATATGTATAATAATATTTAACAAAAAATATTATATTGCTCAGTGTGACTAGTAGATAAGATAAAATTCTTTTAATATCTCAATATTAAAATGTAAGACTTCTTGTTACAATTTAAAACGTATTCTTGCAACGGTAAACTTGATATAGCAGCCTAAATAATAATAGATTTGGATAATATTTAATTAACAAATTCTACGATACTTTTAAGGAATTAGGTCTTATTGAATACTCATTATATCTGTTAAATATTCATTAAATTTATTGCAAGAATAACAATGACTAATTCAGCTTCATCAGCACCAGAAAAATCACAATATTGTTTCTTTTTTTGGTACAAATGATGCAGTTAATAATTTAATTTTTTTTTCTCTTCAAATGGTGTTTACCTATTTCAGAACCCACATATGTTACAGATTTTCATAATACATTTCTATCATTATATAGATCTCTTTTCTGTATATTTTTATTATGAATATTTACAATTCATTGCCACTGAGCACAAAACGATTTCATTTCTAATTCTAATATTCATATTCTGAAAAGTATAAATGACGGATAAATCTCATGACCATAGAGATAGAGAATAATGATAAATGCACTACTTTACAATAATATTGTTATTTGCGATATTGAACAATCCTTGATCTCTTATCTTTTTGCATTACTTTTTGTTTAATACTTTAATATCTACACTTATATATGGTATATTGTACAAGGATAAATTAAAAATGTTTAGTTAAATTTTGATATTCAAGTAAAAACAATATCACAATTATATACAAATATTAGCAAAATTTAWAAAARAAAWAAAAAKGGGGGGGGGGGGGAAMAAATGATAAATCTTAATTTACTGAAACACGACTTAAGATATAAGTTTGAATCTTTTCTTTTGCAAAACCAAGTCTTTGCATATTATGCATTTACTTTTATTAGATGAAATTAATATCAGAATTATACTTTTATGTTATATAAATACTGACGTTTTAATACAATTTATAATAGTAACTGATATATTGGTTATTCAACGTAATATGGACTCATTTGGCTAGGTAGAAACCGAATTATTTCAATATTTCAAGTTACGTCTATTTAAAGAAGTGTTGCATTATGAAATGAGATATTTTTAACAATATTTTATAATCCACACGATACTTTTGTTTTGTTTTACAAATATCTCAGTTATGTAGTTCCAAAAATATTTATCCATTTAGTTGAAATTTAAGATTATTATATATCGTTATGTTACAACGTATTTTCAACCGATTCAAAAATTTCTAATTAATTTACTACTACTGTCATCGTAAAATGAGTAATATTAATACATATTTATTTTCCTTATTGCCTTATTTTATGCTTTATTACTTTTATCTGACCATTAAGATTGAACACTATTTGTTTTTAAAATAAATTGATCTTTTTTCATATGACAGCGAAGAATATATATTCCAAAAATGTTCAGATTAAAGTGCATCTGTCATATTTGCTTATTTACTAAACTCTCCAGAGTGACGATATTAATAGGTTGCAATAGTTTCTTTGCTGCAAAATATTCTTTTAGAGTAGAGTAAAATATTCTACCGGGTGGGCATACTTTAATACAAGATCTGTGTACTAAACTATTTTCATAATAGAATATACATACATACATATCATGTGCAAATTCCCACACAATAGAGCTTTACTCTACCAAACTGAACTTATATCGTTTAATAGGTCGACAAAATGTGCAAGTTTTATCTTTCATTGTTTTTTTTTTCTTTTTTAAATGATAGCCACCGAATAGCCGTAAAATATTTGTTTGTTTTCGAAACAACAACAAAACAAAACACTTCGATCAAAGTGTTAATTAGATCGTAAATTTACATCAATCGTCTGATGGTGGGCCATAGAAAATTAATTCAGGTATCTGTCCACCTTGAACACCTGTACCATTAGTACTTTCAGAACTACATTGAAATTGAAAATTTACACTACCAACTGTAGCCTCGGTCATACCTTCTTGACCAAAATAACTTAATTCTACGCCATCGAGTATTGCACTTGCCGTATAAAAGCACTCTGGTTCTATTTGTATAGGATTTTCAAAATACACGTGAAATGTACTGCTTGATCCATCAGAAAAAAATTTTGTACTATTTTCTGACAAGACACAGCCCAGTCTTTTAAGCTCTATTCTAACATTATAGTCCGCAGCACCAGTAGAGCTTCCGTATAATCCAAAACCAACCACAAAAATTCTTTTGTCAACACTGAACTGGATCGAATCACATCTTCCTCTGTAGCGCCACTGATTGGATCTATAAGCGCACGATTGGAATCTATGACAAACCTATAAAGAAATTTCCAATTCTCACGTAGATCAATAAATACTTTATTACAAACACATATATATATATATATATATAATATATATAAAATTTGTAAATGTTTATACATATAGAGCAATCACAGTTAATATTGTTTAATGTAATATACGTACACGTATATATAGATCACTAAAATTTGAAAAAGGAAAATCAAAATAAAAGAAAAATAAGCATGTCACTTTAACAAACAAACATAACAAGTTTTATGGGGAAGCTAAATTTGAATATATATATATATATTAATTATAGAAAATAAAGGATACATACAACTACTTGACTGTATATAATATTTCAAGTAATACGACATTGAGGAAAATTATTTTGAATTGAGAAATGATTGGATAATTTAATATTTCTTATGCGTACCTGAGTTTTTAATCCTTGTCGTGCTTTTGTGGGAAAACACAGCATCGGTCTGTTACTTGCAGTGAAGTGTAGAAAAACGTCTATTGTTTCTTGTTGCGTTAGTATGCCAGTTTGTGCAGCACTATTAGCAAATTCCTCTAAATTCATAGCTGGAAGTCGAATTAGATACAGGGCAGACCCTAAAATAAAAAATGAAAATAACATAACTAATTCCTTCAAGAAAAGCTTACAAATATTCACCTAATAATTGTCGTTGATTCGCGGATGTGGGCTCGAGATCTTGTCTTAAACATTCCGCAGAAGCCCATCTTAATGCAGCATCCCAGACATGAATCTCTTTACAATTTAATGTTTCTCGAGATAAGACGGATTCAAGCGTATGAATATCAATGTCTACAAAACCGTCGGATCTTAGTGCCATTTCTGCCTGTGTGTATATTCAATACATATATTATCAGTAGAAATTCATATGAATTTAAATATATAGAAATATTTAAATATATATAATTTCTCAAGATATTGAGTTTAACTTATCAATATGTCATGGAAAAATAAAATACTATAGAATATTTCATTTTTAATTCAATAAAACTCTATCTCGTTAATCTCTAAAAATGATAACAATTATAGATGAGCGCGAGGGCTTCGAATAAATAATAGATAATTCGCTTCCTTCTTATGTTTCATATCATTTTTATTATCACAGTTATCGAATAGTTAATTCCCGAAAAATAATTTTTCCAAATCTAAATAATATTATCATTTAAAATTTTTGTATAATTTATATTTATGCTTTTATGTTATATATTTTTTGTCTCTATTTGAACTTCGTAACACTTTTATCTTATGAGCCTGAAAATGTATTTACTGTCACAGAACTATTGATTACTAATGAGTATATTATACAAAATGCAAAAGCAGGGACATGTAGAATGAACGAGTAGATTTAAAAAGTATTTTAAGCAGATAAGGAATATTTGTTTTGAAGAATAAAAGCTTAAAGAATATAGTCTTAATATATATCTACATTTAACTTGTTATTAAAATGAAATGATGGTAGGGACACAATACATAAATAAAATATAACTTTTATTGTGAAGCCTTTTTTAGTTTCATAAATATAAGTGTAAATATACAAGATTGCAAGTGAACTACATTCATTAATAAAATAATATATCAAAAAAGATTTAAAATCTAATATTACATAAAAAATGTCAAAAGCATTTATTTTTCTATAAAGCAACATTTTAGAATAAAATTACATGTTTAGTTGATGGTATTTTATTATTGTTGTTACTTATTTCTACAAGTTTCATATTTTCAGTGCTATATACAAGTAGTATATATAAAAAACAAACTTAAAAATACAATGTAATATAAGTTACAAGAAATATAATATTAACTGATTGCAATATAGATTATTAAAAAGTTAAAGCATCTTTAATAATGTTGATAATTTAGATGATGTTTGAAATGTTTATAATAAAAATTAATTTTAATTTTAAAACGATTTTTCCTTATCTGATTAATTATTCGAGAAATTCTACATAATGACACCATTAGATTTAACTATTTTAGATAAATCATGATTGTTACTATATCTACTGTCTGAAAGATCATTAACATTTACTGTATGTTTCATTGATTCATAATCTTCTATAAAGCTATCTCGATACATCATGTTTTGTGTGATTTCTATGTCCAGTTTATTACCTGGAAAATATGGCTCACTACGCGTACGAAAAAGAGCAAATGGTAATCTTTCCTTATTTATATCAATAGCAGAAGAATAACATTTGATTTCAGATAAACTTAAACAGTGTGGTGTTAATGATATTCTACTTTTGGAACTTTCGCGAGTGTCATTTATTCTCAATTTTTTCTGATAATTACGTTCGTATTGTAATTTTTTGAATTTATCTTTGATACAAACATCTTCGTAAGAATAAAAATGTCGAATATGATAATCATGATCGCTAAGAAAATTGGATTCATCTACCATCATGTCCAAGCTTGTATTTAAAGTAATGGTACTTAATACCTTCTGATTATTACTTACTTGAGCATCTATAACTTCCCAGCATCGTTGCATAAGGTCTGGTTCTTCAAATAGTCGAGATTGGCTTAGAAGTAAACACGCATTCTTTGCAGTCAAACTTGTTTCCAAATAATTGACGCACGCACGTGCTAAGTGTGGAACTATATACTTTTTAGCAACGTAAAGCGTTGCTAAAACTGTGTCAGCTTCTAATTGTACTTCGTCGCAATACATATATCTGAAATAAGATTCTTCTAAAAATACTGAACTTTCACCATGAAACTTGTCATTTTATAATTGTTACGCGTGTTCATTATATCTTCCTGACATACTAACCTTAACAGAGCAAGGAAAGCTGCTGGCTCTACATCTGGCACTTCTATGTCTTGTTTATTTTCTGCTAGTCCACCGTAAAACATGGCATAGAATACGGAACTACCAGTAGCTAAGACATACTTGTGTGCTGGTATAGTTTGCGTATGGCCTGTAACAAACATTATCCTCTGTTTAAAATCGACAATAGATTTATCAATTCTATTCAACTGTAAGAAAGGAAGAAAGAATCATTATATACCTGGACTACCAACAATAAATATAATATCTGCCATGAGATGGTTATTGAACATAGCAGCATTACGTTCCCGAACTGTAGTCTTTGTTGCTTGCCAGTTAGGATCTTGTGTACAGTCTTCAGGCGATGAAAGATTTAGATGAGTTACAGGCGACGATAAGGAAGACAGTGGCGATGTAGGAGCACTAGGGGGCTGATATATTATTTTTTCTCGTTGCAATACAATGCAAGAGGACAGAGGGCTTACAGATGGAGGAGAATCTGATACATTGCTTGGAGATTCCGCTAGAACATTCACAAGTTTTTTTTATTAAATTATTATCTTGATATTTTATTAATTAATCAATGAACTTATCTTCTCCGTTAAATCGCTAATAACCTCTTTAATCAAACGCACACGCACACACATTTTATGAAATTATTTCAGAGTATCTCTAAATTCACAATATAGTAGCATGCTATAGATAAAAAGAAGAATATTTCTTAATTGAAGTGTCATAAAAAAATATAAATAATTTACCGTCAGTGTACATTATTTCATCAATTTGGTGTTAATTTCGAAGTTAATCTTTTATCAATGTTTTGACATAGCAAAGAACGGTGTCACCAAAAAAAATTGATGAATATTTGATACCGTTATACAATAAAAAGTAACGATCAAAGCGGAACATGTATGCACATCATATTGAATAGCAAAAACATTTTGTGATAGCGGAACACTGAGAAACGTTCGTCTTGCTTCGTTTTTCTTCGGGTATATTCGTACGTTTCTCGGTGCACGTGATGTACATCGCGTACAAGTCCAAAGTACGAATAAAAATATAAACGAATTTCTTTAAAACAGAGCGTTCATTAAATATACGATTATTATCTACCATTATATAAGATAATTCTAATCAACATTCAATTTTTTGTTTTATCTAAATACCAATATTATACAATTTACAATGTTCTCAATACGGAATTATATTTTTGTATAAATAATGTTTTAATGATTAACGTAGTCGTGCCGGCGACAGAATAATCCAATCAGCGTGAATGCGTATCAATGTATATGTAATACTACACATGTGTACATATATACTATAATTATATATGCAAAAGAGAAAAACTAATCTAAATTCGTATTGTACTCATTATCTTTCATATTTATACGATATAATTTAATTAAAAAATATTCTAGGATCAATTTAAAATGATATGAAACATATACTCGTCGACATACTTATTAAATACTGCATAGAACATTAATGGTACTTGTAACAACATTGTTTTTCTTATATATGCATTGAATTATTTCAGTATAATGCGTTTATTTGCAACTCAAAATACGATTTAAGTATTTAAAAACATTGAATGATTGACCCAGCCATTGTTTATAAATAAATCAATAATACAGCATTTTCTTCTATGCGCGCGTATGTGTGTGCGTGTGTGTGTGTAACATAAAAATACACACGCACGTATTTGGATCGGATATCGATGTTATATTATATTGTTTAACTAGAATGAATTTAAAATACAGCATCTTTTTTAATTGATTCATGTTATTCTCTTACCGTTGACCCAAGCATTGGTTTGCTTGACCGTGACGTTATCTTGATACCGTTGTAACGGCTTGGCGGTGATCTTGGAGTATAAGTTAGACATCTCTGTTCTTTCTGCAAGACGAGACGTCTCTCTTGTATATTTATCCTTCTTTTATTCTTGAATCGTGTCGAATGAAAGAATCACGGTAAATTTAAGATAATAAAAGAGCGTAGGTATAGGGCCGAAGCGCCATGCTAGGAAGACGGGCGCTGGTTAGGTAACACCACACGTTACCTTTCGTCTCTACAATCGATCGATAATTCGTGTTACAATGCGCATGTCTCTTTATTTAAATCCTACCTTCTTTATTCTCCCGTTATTTAAAGTACTAACTTTTTCGAATAATATATTTTTAATTTTATTTATATAACACATATATTGCACATCCTTGATTTTGACCCTTTACAAACGAACCACCAATGGATTTTACAGTATTTCTATGAATTTAAATGGTTATATTCAATTTTTTAATTTGCCGCGTATTATATGTTATAATTTAAATCTTGTCGCATTTGCTTTTACGATATACTTTTATGAATTATTATATTTTAGATCCTTGCTTGTATATTATGAGATTTGCAAACAAGCTTGAATTTGGTAAGAAAACTCACGAAGTATCAACGACTGCAATAAGAGTAATGCAAAGAATGAAAAGAGATTGCATACACAGTGGCCGGAAACCATCAGGATTATGTGGCGCGGGTAAATTTGAATGATGTTTTTTTCAATTTAAACAATATATAATATATACATTTAAAAAATTTGATTATAGCTTTGCTAATGGCAGCACGATTACATGAATTTAATAGATCACCTGCTGATATTGTAAAAATAGTTAAGGTTCATGAATCTACTTTAAGGAAAAGGTATATACATATGCATATCATATCTATGTATGTATAATATATTTAATATTAAATCAGCGATATTTAAGGCGTTTAATTGTAGGTTAATGGAATTTGGAGATACACCTTCTAGTGCCTTGACTTTGGAAGAATTCATGACAGTTGATTTAGAAGAAGAACAAGATCCACCTGCATTTAAAACTGCTCGTAAAAAAGACAGAGAACGATTACAAAAAGTAGACAACAAAAAATTTTAGTCTTTCTAGAATTATAATATTAATTTTGTATACTATATACTATTGCTATATATAATATATATATATTATACTTTGCTTTTATTCATTTCAGTTAGAAAATATAGATACAGAAATAAATGAACTTCAAGCTGAAATCGATAGACAAATAGACGAACAAAAAGTTGGAAAGGGAAAAAAACGAAAAAATGGTATTTTAGTTTTTGCAATTTCTCATATACGTTATATATTTCTTTAATATGTATCTTATGTATAATCTTGACATTAATTACAGGATCTCCTTCGGAAAATGATTATACTGATAGATTTATTAAAGAAACTAATTTAAATATTATTAAAGATTGCATTGATTGTGAAGCTGTGAATTCCGATGTTGAGGAAGAATTACTTGAACGTGATAATGATACGTTATTTACAGGACTTGGTAAGGAACCTAGTAACGTTGGCAAAATAAATGAACAATTAATACAATTATGTAACAACAAAATCTTGTAAATCTTCGAAGGCCCTGATATTGCTTCAATGGGTTTAAATGGAACAAAGGAAGCGAGTAGAGAATCAAAAGATAAAAACAAATCCAATTTTGAAAATGTAGGTACATACATTTCATGTATGTTTAAATTTTGTTAAACAAGTAATGCAACGTTTATTTTATCGCAGGCTTCTGGAGAAATTAATATTACTGACATTGATGACGACGAATTGGACGACTATATAATGACAGAAAAAGAAGCTGAATTCAAAGATATTTTATGGAAAAAAGTCAATGCAAAATATTTGACCGAGCAACAAGAGAAAGAAGAACGACGAAAGAAGGAGAAGGAAGAAGGTAAACCAGAGAAAAAGAGAAGACGTACTACAAAACGAAATAAAAATCAAGGTCCTGCTACTACAGCAGGTAAATAAAGGCTAAGAGATGCTATACTATATAAATATATTTTTATATATATATTTGTCATACTGGATTATATATATTGTTATTTATTTAAGGGGAAGCTATCGAGAAAATGTTGCAAGAAAAACGTATATCTTCCAAGATCAATTATGAAGTATTAAAAAGCCTAAACATAAATGGTCCAAATAATCAACAGAAAGAGCAAGAAAACCCGTTATGTAAATCTAAGATTGACATTAAAATGGAGATTAAGTCGTCAGGGTTAGTTGTTATGGAAATCTTTATGAATGTTATATTTTACATTTAAAATATCTTATTTATCATTTTTTCTTTTAAATATTTGTTTATTTCATGTATAACCAGGACATCGATTTCGCCATTAAAGAATACAGGAACATCATTATCACAAGAGACACGTTTACCAAAATCTAATAGAAGACGTAAAGTAGAAATACCAAGTTCAAAAGAACTGGAAGAATTTGTGGAAGAAGATATGGCACCTCCTACACCACCCGCACTTGATGCATCAGACGTTGGTAAGTATGAATGTCCGTTTTTTATTGATGATCTTTTCTCCTTCTTAATCTTTCAAATGTTAATTTGATATTGTTTTCTATCGAACAGTGGATGAAGCAGAGGATTACATGGATGATGCTAATGATGAACCCACTGAAATGACAGGAAGAGAAATGCTTAAACGAAGAAATGGAATTGATGACGACGATGACTATGAATATGACTATGGAGAAGAATATTAATACTATATCTTAATCAAAAAATGCATTTTCTCTCTTTCCGTTAATTTGATACGCTTATTAGATTTGTTTTTTTATTTATTTTATTGTGTCTATTCTCTAAGAAAACCCTCACACCTATCCAGTACTACCAAAGAGGTTGCGTTTTTCTACTGCCTCTGGAGTCAACGGTACATGATTTTTGTTAAAGAATTACTGATTCATTTTTTTATTAACGTTTTGCTTTACTTTAGTGATCCGAAGCAAACTAGTAATCTAACGTGGCTAGGTCGTTGACCTTATTTATTTTATTATACCAAACGTAATTGTAATTTTTATATATATATGTAGTAGATTTTTTGGTTTTAGTTATGGAGATCATTTTTTGTTATCGCCATTTATTCTAGAGTTAAAATTATTTATGAAATTATAAAATATACATAGCGCTATAATAAGGAGAGGCATTTACGAAGTAATTTTTTAATTACTTCTTAATATTAAGTTTTTTTTTTATTAAAAAATAACGCACCATTAATATTTATATATAATATATACCTGAAATTAAACTGACAAGGACTATTTCTTCTTTTTATTATTTTTTTTTTCCCTCGAAAAGTTGAATGTCTGTCACCTTTCGTCTACTGTTGTTTAGTTGCGATCCGTCTCATCACTGTCTCTCTCAAAGATCCTTTTACGTTCAGCCGCTAGAAAATCGATGAGAATCACTCCTGGAATTTGTCGTTCCCATAGGTGAAGGTCCTTTAGCATATCCCAAAAATAGAGTAACACATTGAAGACCTTTATAGTTTGCATATCTGCCCACCTCGCTGTGTTAAACGTGTTTTTAACATCTATGGTTGCTAATACAACTATGCATCGCGTCGCGTGATAGGTCTCTTCAGTTCTTCGGTAGACTTTAAGAAGATCGTTATTAGCTCCTAATGTCAACCCGTCCTTTCCTAAATCCGTACTGTCTCTGAGATAAATATGTTAAATACACGCATTTGTATTAATAGTATATTTTAAAATAAACCATTAAAATACTTTCTTGTTACTTACTGAAAGAGCAAATCAAATATTTTGTTAATTTCATTTGAAGTTAAAAATAAATATTTAAATTAAAACTTAAAACTCATATTTTGTTCTTACGTCTTTGATACATTTCATTCTTTATGCTCGTATAGTTGTCCATATCCAATGGCCAAATGTATCCAACAATCTGGTAAAGTAAGTACTCATGGTGGTATCGCTCCTCGTAGTATTCATTTCAAAGTTCAGCTTCCTTGAGTTCTCATCTTAAAGTTGAGCAGTTTCTTCTCTTCTCAGCCAGTTTGTAATCTATTAAAAAGAATGTATCAGTAGATGTCAAATGTAGATTACATAATGTGCCACCATATAAAAAGTGGACTTTATATTTGTAATAATGAATTTATATATATATATAATATATTATAAAAATAAGATGAATAGAGTAAGAAGTGCTCTTTAATAATCGACTGGTTTTGTGAATAAAAGAACAAAACAAGAACAAAAAAAATGTATGGAAGCATGAATTTCAATATACTGCTATGCAGCACAAAGAATATGACAATTTTACTCTATTATTATTATTATTATTAATATTATTATTATTATTATTATTATTATTATTATTATTATTACTATTAATATTATTATTTGCAATTAAATTTTGTAGCTGTTGGGCAGAATATATATATCTAATCTTTCGCACATGTAATATATATATATGATGTACGAATTTAATTATTAAAATTGTTAATCACTAATAAAAATTTTTTTTTTCATCTATTATTTCAAAGTTAATTCAAAAGTCTATTGATACTTTCTATTGTTAGAACAGCGTTTTCTAAACAAAATTTCATGTAAATCGTATTATAAATTTTAAACGTAGCAAAGAATAAAAATGAGAAGAAATCAAAATTATAAAAGAAAAAATTAAAAGAAAACCAAAGCAATGACATATCTTAGAAATAAATTAGACTTCGAGCACGATTTAGAAATTATTGTTCTAAACCTTAATTTATCGACGAGAACACTAAAAAATCAATGCAAATCAGAAACTATAATTCAATTCACGCTTCGCATTCATTTGCATTAGTTGGCGCATTAATTCTATTTTTTAAATATGAATAGACGCAGTGGATGATTTCTAATCGTTATTATAAGAAAAAAAAAAAAAAAAAGAAACAAACGAAACAAAGACATACAATAATACACTACACATAAAGAAAGGAAATAATTGATATTGTATAAATTATTAATAAGAT